ATTAAAGAACAGGCACTGCTGTCCATCACAATGGCTTAAATTAAAGACTGATAATCCCAAGTGTTGGTGAGCATGTACAGCAACTAGAAGTATCATATGCTGTTGGTAGAAATGTGTAATGGTATAATCACTTTGGGAAACTGAAAATTTCTAATGAATTTCAACATATACTGTGCATTTCCACTCCTAGGTATAGACCTTTGAGAAAGCAGTATATGGTAGCTTTATTGATAATGAAAACTGTAAAAAAAACCCACAAATATTTATAAATGAAAACTGTAAAAAAAACACAAATATTTATAAGAGCAGAATAATAAACAGTGGTAATATATTCACTCAATGGAATGCTGGTCAGAAAATGGAAAACATTTTCCTAGTACTTGCAAGAATGTGCAGGAGTCCTCAAAGCAACACATTGAGTGAAAGGAAGTTAAACTAGAAGAATAACTGCTGTGGACTCCATTTATGTAAATGTTTAGAAGTCAGAATGGTGTATCTGGGAGACAGAGCAGACACTGCTAAAAAGGGCTTGAGAGAATTTTCTGGAATAATGGAAATTTCCTATATCTTGATCTGGGTGGTGGTCACATGGGTGTGTACATATGTAAAAAGTGTCACTGATCTGTATATTTAAGATTTATGTAATTATATACATTATTTCTCAAAAAATGTTCTTATCAAAAATGTGTTTAGCTATGTTAATTGAAGATCACTATACACAAAATTTTATGTCTTATATAAGAACAACTGAGAAGGTGAAAATTTAAAAAGCTATTGTTTATACTGCAAAACTATTAAAGACTAACACTAAATTTATTAAGAAATGTGCAAGAATTTCTAAGAAGAAAATTATTAAATTAAATATCATTGAGGCAATTAATGAATATTTAATAATTGGAAATATATTCTATTTCACAAATTGGAAGGTTGAGCACTATAAAACTGGTCAATTCTCCTTAATTTGACTTAGGAGTTTAGTGTGATCCCTATAAATAACAATAAAAACAACAGTAGATGTTTTTAAGGAAATCAGTGTGATGGTTTCTCCCTGTCTTTTCCTCCCTCCCTCCCTCCCTCCCTCCCTGCCTTCCTTCTCTTGTGGGTCATTCTGTACAGCTTAAATGAATCACGTGTTTTGCAGTGCGATGCTTCCTCATAATGGATGTAGGTGATCTAAATGGGATGTTTTCAATGTTACTGCTATAATACAATTTAAATAACAATACAAAACAAATAAAACAAGACCTACAATCAGTAAAGTGAAAGGTTAACTGGAAGATGAAATTTACCATAAATAGGTTCTTTAAACATTCAGTGTAATGTGTGGAAGGAAAAGAGACAGCAAACGTTTTGTCATCTTTTCATATTACTGAATGCCATGGTCATGACCAGTGTTGGAAAGATAAGAAAGCATGTGAAGTATGGCGGGCTGTGGGTTTTGATTTGTGGCTTTTGGGATTGCCTTTAGCATGCTGCTTTTTGGTATAAGCTACTTCCAAGCTGTTTGAGATTTGCAGTTTCCCCACCCCCCTCTCTGTCTACTGGCAACTTTAATACCTGGAATGTAGCTGTTGGGTACTTTAAACTTTAAAGCCTGGGTTGTACAACTGGCTTTTCTTTTGTGAGCCCAGGAAAAGTACCCTCAGGTAGAACTTGGCTTTATAGAAAGTTAATATTCATTATGCCAGTACTGGACTATAGAAAGGAACAGAGGGTTTGGGGATAGAGTAGTATTTGAGCAACAAATACTTTGGGCTTTTGCTTAAGAAAAATAACGAAGAGGTATCTTAATCACCCGTTTACTTTAAACGCTTACTTAGCACCTACTACTATTTATCATGTGTTTTCCTGGGATGAAAATATCTGTGTTTGTGCCCACCAGATGCTGAAAAGGGATGGGTTAATTAACAGTTGTTTTCAGTTCAGTGTGATAGCATTAAGTCCTTTAGGAGCCAGGAGGAGGTAGGGGGAAGAAACCTACTGAATTATGTTTTAAGGCCCTGGTGGTAAAAAACTGTATGTATATAAATAATCTCCAAATCAGAGAGACTATACGAAGTCATAGTGTTCTTTCATTCACCATCTTTTAGTGCCATAATTTTACTATATGGCATGGTTAGGGAATATTATAATAAACCTGTTGTTTTTAAGAACCAGTGACTGATGATATCTACCCTGTGAGTGAATTGAATATTCATGAATATTACATGAATATTTACTTTTTTATATATGACATCCCAGGTATAAATATGACTTAGGAAACAGATATTCTTAATATCTTAGGTGACTTTGAGGAGCAGTAAGCATGTATGTCTTGAGCCCTGATCAGTTATCAGAGTGTGCACCTAGTTTGACCTCTGTAAAGAAAGGTGTACAGTAATGCTGAGAGGTGGTGTCTTCCCCTTCCAGCTTCCTCTGTGGAGTAGTAACAAACAGTGCAGGCAGGCTGCTTGGTGCTAGAAAGTACATTTGAGGCCACGCATTCTCCCATGTCCTGTGGGGGAGAGTAGGCAAGGGCACTAAAACACTTTCATTGTCTCATTACATTAAGGGAACATTTACATTCCATCATTTGTATGTTACGTACAAATGAAGAGATGTATTGTTTTGGTGGGAGAGGGGCAGAAGAGGAGGTTGAAGGAACTACTGTCTGGAAACATTAGAAAAAAACAGACTTCATGGGTTTTCGTAACCTCCACCAGACCTGGATCAGAATATTACTACCTCAGCGCAGTCTAGATGGAGATTTGGCATGGGATGGTGACACTTCTGCAGGACATGAGACCTCGCTTACTCAACAATCTGGTCTGAGGCTGCGTCTCTCTTTGTTATTACTTCATGTGGCATATATGGATTTTAATTTTGGCAGATTGTGTGTATTTTGTAGAAATTAAGTATTCTCAACTTTTCTATAATGTCGGTGTGACCCAAGGCCTAATCACTTTGGTGAATGTGATCTGGCCTGTTGACATTGTTAAGGGTTTGTTTCTTATTAGTGTTTTATTGTAATTAGTAGTTGAAAATGTATAATGATAGAGGTTCAGCCACCAGGAGGTTCAGGATTGATTGTAATTCTCCTAGGCTTTTGATAACTTTATACTTTAAGAATAAACTCTAGAGTCCTCTATCAAGTGGTTGTCATACAAGCCAACTAATATGTGTACAAATTGTTAGATGCGTCTTCTCTCTCCCATATGTGACCGCTGCTGCTAATTCTTCTCTCTTGTTTATGGTGTCACTGCTGGTTTTCCCAGAACTCACTGCTTGTTTTAGTTCATTCATCTCTCATTACCAAGAGGCAATAAGGTTTCTTTATACTTCTAAATATAGATATGCATTACAAAGGGAATAAAAATTTCAAAAGAAAACACTCCCATTAATAAAAGTCAATAAAAATTAAACAGTTTTATATGCAGCAGTCTTTTGTGTTATATTTATCTTTTTTATACTATGCATTAACTCTCTCTTTTGAGTACAAATTAGCTGCCTTGTGCAAATTCAGTTTGTTCCAGTTCATCATTATTATTACTGTGTTATATTATGCCAAACTGGACAACCTTGGACAATAGGAAGTCTCCAGTGGCTCTTTGACTTCTTATGTCCCCCTCATGTACTTGAAAGCTTGTTGCTGGTAACAGTGGGGTATTCTGTCTGAATTTTGGTTTTCTTCTGCCCCAATTAACCTAATAACCTTCCAAGGAGTTATGGTGTCTTTTAGTAGTAAATAGTTGGGGGAAAACCCTCTAGTGGCTGAGGTTACATTTGAGAGTTGATATTATGCAAAGCCTATTGGTGATGTTTGATCACACTTAATAGTGACAGAGATGTAAACTGTTTATTTTTAAATATGCGAGTTTACTTTGATCTGCACATTTAACATGTTATCTGCTTTTTAAAATTTATTTCCGAAGAAAAACTTTCTCCTATATTCACATGTTATTTTAAGTAATAATTTGGAATCTTACTGCATTGTATCCAATGTCATGTCGTAAACAATGCTGCTGGAGGTAAAAGAATCATTTACTTTACCCCATAATTAAGGAATATAGTTATATTATTTTGACATTAATCTGATAGGGTAAAATCTTTAGGATAAAATGGTGAACCCCAAAAGTTGGAAAACTTTCATTCTTTCCAAGGTTTTTGTAATTAACAAAATGTGATTAAGACAATTAAATATTTTTTTTGCTTATTTAGAATAGTAAGTAACACAGGCCTTGAGCAGGAAATACTCTTTGTCAGTTCAGAGGTGGGAATTAGGGTTTTCCAGCATGTTGTTGCATGAAAACATCATTAAGCAGAGTAGCATTGCTTTTGCCATGTTTTGATATATTTTGCCATGTTTTGCCATATTTTGAAGAGGTTACTCTTTTATTATTCTGATACATAGATATTATTTCCCTAAGTTTTTCCATTGGCAAACTTTCGGGTAAAGAAGCGGGCACATAAAAATTCTCTTCCTCTGTTTAGCTCTCATAGAGTCATAGGTCTCTGGAACTGACAGGAACCCTGGAATTACCTTAACTTGATAGAAAAGCACATTAATGGTCAGAGTCGTAGAAATGGGTTTTGTTCTGTTTTTAGTATTTTCTTGATGATTAAAGTAACTGTTTAAAAACTAGTCATTTTGTTGCATTGTAAATATGCGCTTTAATACAGTGATTTCTCAGAATACTAATCTAGGTGCTATATTCCTGGTACTAAGCCTTTAATTTGTTGAAATGTAATGTAACATTTTCTGTTACAAACATTGTCTTTACATTTGAATTTCCTTTTTCTTAGAGAAAAAAGTGCTGCATGTCTCTGGATGCTTTGGCATTACCACTGCTGTACTTTTAAGAAAACTAATCTCTACTGAGTAAAGATAGCCCTAAATATTACTTCCCCAAATACATTATCTAAAGCTTAAGTTATTAAAAATGCTTAGTTTATGCTATTTTCTACAGTACAACACTAAATTAATACTGGTTTGTTTGTTTCTGTTATTTTCTCCCCTTAAGAGTTCTTGAAGCCAGCATAGCAGAAAACAAAGCATGCTTAAAGAAGACACCTACAGAAGTTTGGAGGGATTCTCGAAACCCTTACGACAGGAAAAGGCAAGACAAAGCTCCTGTTGGACTGAAGAATGTTGGCAACACTTGCTGGTTTAGTGCAGTCATTCAGGTAAGGATCTTCATGCAGATCTTACTTGGCGGGCATAATAGCAGTTGGCGGAAAAGTGAGCTGGGGTTGTGTTTCTCTTCAGTTGTGTACTGGACACATAACTGCATGAGGTTTCAGAATGCTCTCTGTCTACAAATTAGTTTAGAGATTGTAGCATTTCTCATCCTTCTTTGTTCCTCACTCCCAGGGTGGAGTTTGAACATAGGTCGTAGAGTATGACCTATGCCTTATTTGGTATAATTTGGAATTAATTTCTTCTCCCTCCCTGCTGTTAGGAATGGTATCAGAGTGTAAAGAAAACATTTCTGTATGAATTGCCTTGCAAATTTAAGGAAGGATGTAATCAAGATTTGAAACCAGACAGACCAGACTTATTTGTATATAATAGAATATGTTGTTCATTGAATTTCATCCTTTACATACTGTTTTTAGGAGAATAGGGACATTTTATTTGAGGAGGGTATAGATTAATAAGACATTTTTTCCTAACTTGTAAATATTTTTCTTAATTTTAACTAGTTTTTCTTTTTATTTTTTAGCTTTTATGTGATATGACTGTTACCAAATTCTTTACCATTCTCAGACATTGCTAATATTTATCCATCAGGTTGTAAAACCTTAAATTAAAGAATCTCCATAAATGAACTAATTATGAATAATAACATTCTCTTAATTTTTACCCTTTAAGAAAATTAATATTTGTGTTTACTTTCCAAATGAGGTTGAATTCATCTTATTATTTAATGTTCCTAATGATTACTTCTTAAATCATTGGATGTGTATTCTGTTGCTTTTTATAGTAAAAGTATCCCTTCATTTTGTAGCTTTCCAAACCCATAAAATGACAGCATAAACTTGCATACTATGTTAAAGCAACTAACTGGTTTTTACATTTTCTACAAAATTGTTAATTGTATTTTCTAGGCAATTAATATGTACTTTAACTTTTTTTCTACTTCTATGATATAATTTTGAACCCCCTCCCCTTTTACTTCTGACACGTAATGCCATACCATTTGATTTCCTTTGGTTTTCTGGATTTACGCCTCTTTAATATGGTATACATTAGTTAATAACTAATATACCATTATCTATTTTCCAGGCCATTAAAATGTTAAAGAATACCTGGATTAATGGAAATCTGTAGTAATACCTTTGTTTCCAGCCTTGATTATGCATTAATTATTTAGCTACACGCCAGTAGTATCTAAACTTTTATTTGCTATTTTAGTCTCTTAGACTGTATTGCTTTACTTTACTTTCACTATTAGTTAGGCTTTTGCACTTCATTGTCCAGTCTAAATCATTCAGACATTTTAAAGTGGGAAGCACAGTTTCACAGCTGTGCTCTGAGTGATCACGAACATGCTTTGTCACCTGTCTCTGGGCAAGCAAACGCTGTTCCTGCATTATTATGGCCAATAAATGAGGCTCATTGCTTAGAAGCTTCTCTTAGAAAACTGTCAGAAGAGAGAAAGCACTTGTAAATAATCAATATTTGTTATTTAGAATAAGTGCTCTTTATTTCTCCATACCCTATTGTAAGAAAGACCCACTTGAAATGATAATTAAATTAATATTAATACATTTGGGGAGAATCACTGTTTGTTTTCATAGAATAAACTTCTCTTAATATCTTAATTTTCAAATTTGAAAGAATTGTTCATCTGATTTTTACTTTGGTGTTTGCTGACCTTAGCTTTTTCTTTCCATTTCAATTTTGGGGTTTTTTTTTTTTTTGGAAGGGAAATGGACTGGAAAATTGCTTGTCCTTTTGCACAGTTGAGGTAATTTTAACTAATTTAACATTTTATCTGCTGCTTAACTGGCAGCAGGGCTCTACAGCACTCCCAGGCAAGTGTGGGGCACTTGGGGTTGGTACGTCTTTTGTTGGAGAAACCTGCACACCTAGAAGTAACTTCTAACCTTGAAAAAGCTGAGTTAGGATGAAGTATTAAGATACTGATTTTTGGAGGTATGGAAAAACAGTAAGCTTTAAATTTTGGAAAATTATGGGCAGAAAAAAACTTTGTCTAAAGATCACTTCATTTTGGTTTTTACTGTAATTTTAAAGTCTATTCTGTTTTAAGTAGCTTTTCATACTCACCATACTCATAAATCAAGTAATTTCTGGTTGACTAAAATACAGACATCCCGGGGGCATTTAACACATCTTTAGGTTATTCTGTACCAGAATGTAGTACAGTCTCTGACTCCTTGGAAGAGCCGGCCCATCATGTAATGATTGAATGAGTGAGAGAATGAACCAAAAAAGGAGCATGTGTAATTTATGGTAGAACTGAAGACTTAAGAAGTATCTATCACCCTAATAGTGTACGGGATTGAAAAGATGCTGCAAATTTTCAAAAAAAAAAATAGGAGCTCATTTAACATGTTTATTCACATCACTTACTTTTATCTCTTTAATTTTCCTTTAAAAAAACCCCAAGTATGTAGTTTGGTGAGAAAACCAAAAATTTCATAGCCACAAAAGGCTTATAGTGAAAAATAGCAATAATCTGTCCTAGACTCGCCTACCTAATCGTCCTGCGGCAACTACAATCAGTTCTAGCTGTTTCTCCTGTTATCCTCATTTTTATAAGCGACATGCCTTCCGGCTGATATACAAGGATTTAGCTCCCCCATTTCACCTAGAATTGCCTTCTCTTTTATCCACCAACATAGGTGTAGCGCAAGTTGAAAGTAGTAGTCAGGGTTTACATTTTCTGTGGCTTTGTAAGTATTACAGTGATTTACTAGGACTACTCTTCTGTAATCCTTTGTTTTCTTGGAGTTTGCCACCATTTTTTTTCTGTTTTTATATACTTATTCTTAAAATTTTCCAAATGCTCCAACATCTTTTATCAATAATATGGTCTTTATGCTCAAGTGTATTAGGTCAGTTGTTTTAGTCTTTGACCTCAGAAGTTTTCTCTGCCTCAAAATCAGACTGGATCCTGATTCACTGTGCTTAAGCATGGTTGCCAGTTTTCCAAAAATGGGTCTAGAGAAAGGGAGTTGGAGAAGTATAAGGGAGGGATCTGTTTGCATTTTTTACTTAGTATTTTTTTTTTGTAGCTCTGAATCTCATCCCATCTTTCTATCCTGGCGCACACTGTGACTGATTTTTTAAACCTGAAACAGTAGGGTTCAGTAATATTCAAAGACGAAATCTCTTATATCCCGAAGAGGAGGTAGTAGTTGTCTGGGGTAAGATATAGGCATTTAATTGCTCTATACTCAGACTTTTATCTTTTAATCCATTTGCTTTCCCTGCTTCACCTTGAAATTTATATGATACCATTCTACTTTTTAAATAATCCACCTGGGAGAATTTATCTTGCTTCTCCTTGGTATCCTCCACTAGAGGCAATTTATATATTCCTTTGTTCTCTTGTCATGAGTTCTTTTGCTTTCTACAAATTATTTGAACTTTAATCTCTCATAACTCTGTTATTTGCACGAATCTAGCCAAACTCCATTTTATCAAGTGCTCTTCAACACTCATGTATCAGTTTTGGACTGAATACAGGAATACTTACTTTCAGCATGTATCAGTAACAAACACCATTTAGGCAGTAGCTACAATTACACTCTCCCACCCCTTCTGAAGGAATATGTTGACCACTACCACTATGACTGTCATTTAGGGTATAAAGAATTTAGGACTTAAAAAAATTAATGTCTATGTTGTGTTATAATGGTCACAAATTCTACTTTGGGTAATAGCTTAGTAGGTTGTTTTAGATCACCTACCTAGGACCCAAAACAAAATAAAGTAAAAAAATCAACTTTTTGAAGGCATCACATAATTCCAAAGTGGAAGAATTTTGAGGCTAGGTTCTGAGTGAACAAGCTGTTCAGGAAATGCACTCCACGTTATGGGCTGGTTTTTAACCTTGAGGCAGTTCCCAGAGTAGCTGCTGAGTGGCAGGGAAGCTAAGCACAGTTTTGCACAGACTCGGAGCCAGGTAAGCGCCTCGGCTTTTCAGAATACTGAAGGGAAAGAGGAACCTGGGATTAATTGAGAACTAAAAATAATAAAAAAATGATGAAAAAATTCATAGTTTTTGAATTCCAGCTTCATCTCAGAGCTGATTAGATTAAGTTGACCTGGGATGTCAAATAGTCCCAGTCTTGTTAGAAGATACTAAGAACTTTGCATTTCCTCCAGCTTCTCACACATACTGTCTGGCACTCAAATCATACTGAGTCATGCCAGGAAGTAAGATATGTCCAAAAATTAGAGAAAATAATGGGCAGTAGAAATACACCTACAGAGACAAATGAAAGCTGAATTGTTATAATAATTATTAGTATGGTCAAGGATTTGAAACCAATATTGAGAATTTTGGTAGAAAACTATAAAAAGAAAATAGGAATTTTAGGATTGAAAATTATAGCTAACAAGTTAAGAAAAGAGCACATTAGACACAACTGAAGAGAATGAGTCAGCTGGACAACTGGTCTGAAGAGTATTTTGAGACTAAAGCCATGAAGTACAGGTGAGAGAGTTTGGACATGTGAGTAGTACAACAAATTCAGTGTATTTGTGGTCCTGTGGGAAGAGTAAAGAAGGAAAAGGAAAAAAGCAGTATTTGAAGAGCTACTGCAATATTGCAAACTTGGTGAAAGAGATCAAGCCACAGATTTAGGAAACAGTAGAAATCAAGTAATATAAACATGAAGACCTCTGCACCAAGGTGCACCGTAATAACACAGGAAAAATGATAGAGACAAAGAGAAAAATCCTGAAAGTTTCCAAATGAAAAAGATGTATCACCTGTATAAGGAATGAAAGTAAGACTTACAGCTGACTTCTGAACAGAAGTGCTGTCTTTAAAGTGCTAGAAGAAATAACTGGCCATCTAGAATTCTATAACTAGCAAAAATCTTACCAAAATGAAGAGAAAACCATTTTCAGTGGAGCAGAAGCTGAAATAACTCATCACCAGCAGACCCACCCCAGAGGAGACTCTAATGGGTGTTGAGGAAGAAGGAAAGTGTTCTCCAGTGAGAGCTCAGAGCATAGAAGATTGGAAATCTTCTGATTTATCGATATTCCTTTCCTACTTAAATTCTTCCTAGGAACAGTCTATATTTTCTCTCCCTTACTTATACATTTCTTTAGTACTCATTGCTGCTCTACCGTTCTACTGAAAACTGACCTCCCAAATGCCAAATCCAAAGGTTATTTTCCTGTCCTCACCTTATTGGTATGTGGCAGCCTTTGTAAGTATTACTAACCTTGTTCTCGAAATTTGCCAGTTGATTCTTTGATGAGAATGTTCTGTGGTACTTCATGTCTTTGTTGGGAGGCCCCTGGTGTAGGTATTTTTTTTAAAGTTCTGCAGTTATTTTGACACTTAGCTATATTTGAAAGCCCTTGCTTTTTCTACTCTGTTTTCTTCTCTAATCTCATACTCTACTTCCCTTGCTGTTCTTATTTTGTCTTATAACTCTTTTTTCCTATAGCATTTAAATGCTTCTCTTCCCCTAAGGCTCTGATCTTGCTCTGCTATTATTGTATTCGATTTATTTCTTATTTATAACATCTACTCATTCATTTAACCTGCCATCATAAGACTGTAATCTCCACAAGGGCAGAGAGTTGATACATTATATTCTTTGCTGCCTGTCTTTGTATGTAGTGGGTACTCCATAAACATTTGGTGAATGAATGAATGAATTGTCTCATGTGTTCATATCATTTAGTTAAGAACTATTTTTAGATCACAAGATAACCAAAGTATTTTTCAACATTTTTTTAAAGATTTTATTTATTTATCTTTAGAGGGGAAGGGAAGGAAAGAGGGAGAGAAATATCAATGTATGGCTGCCTCTCATGGGTTCCCTGCTGGGAACTGACCTGCAACCCAGGCATGTGCCCTGACTGGGAATCGAACCCTGATACTCTGGTTCGCAGGCCCGCGCTCAATCCACTGAACTACACCAGCCAGGGCTTCAACATTTTCTATTAGCAGACTTAGAGTTTTATCTTAGTATTTATTTAGGTCTTTAATCCACATGTATGTTTATATATATTTATAACTATTAGAGTGGGCCACTTTTCTCAACAGCTTACTACCAAAAAACCCCAACAACTTTTGTTTTTTTATTGATTTGGGTGCCCTCTTCATCTTCCATCAAGTTGGTTAACCTATCTTTACTTAGATTTAATACATTATCACTTCCTGCACAGTGACTTTCAAACTTTATAAACGGTGACTCACAAAAGGAGTATATTGTAAAAGACTTTATTTATACATATGTATGTAGAATATCTACAATGAAATTTATAAAAATACTCTGCTGAATTTCCTTGTATGATGTATTCTGATACTTTCCATTGTATTTTATTTAATTTTTTATACAAGTGTTTACCATGATGACATTAGTAAATTATAAGCTATAGCTTAAAATCAGCTCAGGAAGCCTTTCCATGGGTACTTTTTATATGCTCTCACTGTACACTGTGTGAACAGTAATACTGTATCTCAGAGTCACATTTATATCATTTTAATATAATCTGTCTTCCTTCTAGGTTGTGTGTCTCCTTGAAATAGAGATAATATGTAATTTTTTTGTGTCTCCATCACCAGGCATATGGCCCATAAATTTATTTGTACTATATTTTTGTAGAATTGATACCTCTAGATGACTTATAGTAAACATAATACATTTAAAAAGCTCTAGACTTTGCATTTGTGTACCTTTTATTTTGAGGACACTGCATATTAGGCACATATATTAAAACTTTTAATATATTAAAAAAAAACTTTTAATATATAGTATGTTTTTTTGAGTTGTCCATGTATAATTTCTCCTTTGCAGTACAGTAAATTTGTTAATGGTCAGGAATAGCATGTCCAAATATAAGTATTTTGACTTTTCTCAGAAAGAAAAATACAAGGTGTGGCAGAAGTAACTCCTGCTTGAGTGTGATTGGTAGGGTATTACCTGGGTATAATAATTTATAATTTTAATTTGAACATTTCACCTAAAATGTCATATGGTGTGCTGGAATGTAATATTATTATGTTACAGAATTACATGCTTATGATTTTGTAATAAAAGATTTTGTAATAAAAAAGGGACGTTATTTGTGCCAGACCCTGTAGTCCACCTTTCACCAATTGCAACAATTCTGTGATAAGGTGTATAGTTTGTCAAAAATAAATCTCTGAATTGCATCATATTTTTACAGTTCTTTTAGCAGAATTTTTCCATAAGTTTCTTAAATTGTTGTTCTTTTTCAGTCATTATTCAATCTTTTGGAATTTAGAAGATTAGTTCTGAATTATAAGCCTCCATCAAATGCTCAAGATTTACCTCGAAATCAAAAGGTAAAAAGGTACAGAGAATAAGTAGCATAGACGGTAGGTAGAAAATAGGGGGGAGGGCAAGAATAGTAGGGGAAATATAGAATCTAAATAACTTGAGACACGTGGTCATAAACTAAAGGGGGAAATGGGGGGTAGGGGTATGCAGGGTGGAGGGGAATGAAGGGGGGAAATAGAACAACTGTAATGGCATAATCAATAAAATATATCTTAAAAAATAACAAAATAATAAAAATAAACAGAGGGTCTTAATTTTTAATCTGTGTTTTTCTTGGGGGGCACTTGCTGCTCATCAAATCTGAAACTGTCAAATTTGAATATAAACTCATTATTCTCAATTACTCCTACAGTAACTTTGTTCTTGTCAGTATATTACAAATATGATTTTTCCCTCACCTGTGTGCCAGTATTATGCCAGTTTTTTGTATGGTTTTGGTACTTGCTTTTTTTCTTTTTGGACCTTCCATTTTCGGTAAACTTTATAGGCTACAATTTACAATTCAAGATTTTTCTTAGTTTTCTGAAAAATTGTGTTAGAATCAAAAGTTTTTTCACTTGTTTTTTTGCAGCCCGGCCCTTTAAAAGCTCAGCGTTGCTCTGGCTGTCTTTGCAGTGCGAGTCTGCTTTGTGACTTAATGTTGTTGGGTAATGAAATGCAGTGCGGCTGCGCAGACCACAAGGCCTGGTTCTGCCTGTGGACCCGACTTGACCTGTCTCTGCTCAGCGTCCTTGTCTGAAAAGTGTAAATAATTATAAGAATTATTTTTATCCAGTTGCTGTGAGAATTAAATGAGAAAAAACATGTAAAGGACTTAGAAGTGCCCGGTACATAGCAAGTACCAGGTATCAACTTTTGTTAGTTATCATATTGTTCACATTAGCTTTTCAAACTATAGGGCTGATTTGCATGCAGAAATTCATGCTTAATAGAAAAAATTAATTATGGAGATAATTATGCTTGAGTGTAGGTCCTCGGTGACCTTCTCATAAAGATACTGTAGCCCTAAAGGAACTAGGTTTCATTAAAGTGTTAAACTTTGTGTGACCTATTATTAGTAGTAATGATAAATTATTAAGTTATGTTTTTCTTTTAGTACATAATTTTGAAAATTACTTTTTTGGCAACACATGAAACATTTTTAATTCAAGCTAATGGATGGTAGCTTGATTTATAACCAGGTTTTCAGGCTATAATCTTTAGATTATAAAGTGTCAGGCTGATAAACAAGCCATTTTCAAAAGGAAGTGAAGATCATCTGACAACTCCTCATACCTCCAGAGAAATTAAGCAATTACATACATGAAACTTTTTGGATTACTGCTTCCCTTTAGCACAGTTTGTTAATATCAACAGCCCTCTTCTCTGATGTGTCTGTTGGAGTATGTTTATAATTTATATAACATTTTTTTAAAATATTGCTTCCAGTTACATAGTCTTATGTATCTTGACCTTTTCTTTTATGTTCCTATGTGCTGTACAGAGTTTTAATTTTTTTATTTTTTGAAATGTTGACTAAAACCAAGTTACTTTTCTAATATTAGTAAACAGTTGTGATATTCATGCGTATGTACCAGAGCTAGTTTTGGGGTCATGAGAATGTCAGCTGAATGCTGGAGAAATATATAGGTCCAGTCATTAGCACCTTTCTAGAGAAATTTATTTTTTGCAGTAGAGGGGTCAACATGTCCAGGTGTCTCTTTAGCTTAAGGAATAAAGAGAATCACTACTTCTCTTCACAAAAGATACTTATTTAGAAGCATACTGCATAATTTTGTAAAAGATTGTTCCACAAATGAGGTATTCTTTAATTTGCATGGTGACAGCAATACATGTGCACCTTTGAATTTGACCCAATTTGACACCTTTGAAGCAAACATGGGAAATTTATAGGTAGTTAATTTAGCCACTGATTGGTACTGTATTCAGCTGAGGTGATAAAAGACACACGTTTTGAAAAAGGTGTCAGTGTAAATGTTGTCACTTATTATTTAATAATGAATTTATATTTAACTCATGTTTACTGCTACACTGAGCTTGAAAACTAATGTGCTAAGATACAGCATGCCCTTGAGGATCAGTCTGATCAAATCGCAAATATGTTATTTGCATGTACTGCTAAGCAGGGTGTTTTTTTATCAGCAATTAAAGGTTACCATAAATACTGTATTACATACATAATGAGAGAAAGAGGTAGAGTCTTTGAAATCAGTTCATATTTTAGGCAGACTTGGTTATTGTTCCTAGAAGTTGACACTAATTTTATATATTCCTATTTGTGTGTACTGTTCACAGTGTTAATGTCCAGGAGAACTGTGATGTACAGAAATTGAAAGGTAGATTCGAACAGTAAACATCTCACCTTCCCCACCTTCACACATATTCTCTTTGGCTTAAGAAGTTATAAACTGATGGCAACACATATATTAAATGTTGACAACACAAAGTTGCATAAGCTCTTAATATTTGGAAGTAATCTCTACAGAGGTAGCTAAAGTTTTATCATAACTTTATATTACTTGAAGTCTTCATCTATAGCATCTTCCAAATAAATAGTATCTCCCCCTTTTTTTACATTTTATTTATTTTTAGAGAGAGGGAAAGGGAGGGAGAAAGAGAGGGAGAGAAATATCAATGTGTGGTTTGCCTCTCATGAGCCCTGCACTGGGGACCTGGCCCACAACCCAGTCATGTTCCCTGACTGGGAATTGAACTGGCAACCTTTTGGTTTGCAGGCCCACGCTCAATCCACTGAGCTATACCAGCCAGGGCTCTCCCTAATTTTTATTACTCACAGGTATGAAGCATTGAGCCATACTTTATTACTGGTACTTCACAAATACCCAAAAGATTTCTGAATTTTACAAATAAGAGAGGCATTCTGGAACTTCTGTGTTCAGCCATGATGCGGTAACAGAGACTGGATTTACACGTGTCTATAAATTTTAAAGGATTCAAAGCATAAAAAAAAATGTTTTCTGACAATAATGAAATTAAGTTAGAAAACAGCAAAAAGATATCTATAAAATCTCACTGATAGTTTAAAGTTAAATAATGTATCTTTTAATAATTCAAAGAACAAAGTCAAAAGGGAAAGTTCAGAATATTTGGAACTGAATAAAAATTAAAACATGACATGTCACAATCAGAGGGATGCAGCTAAAGCAGTGGTCAGTGGGAAATATATGAACTAAACACTTTATTAGAAAATGAGAGTGGTTTCAAATTTATGACAACTTTCACATCGAGAACTTGATGAGAAAGAGCAGTTAATTTGAAAACAGAAGAAAGGACTAATAGAGATAAGAACATAAATCAATGAAACAAATCAGAAAAACAATAGAGAAAATTAATGAAATAAAAACTACTCCTTAAAATTGGTAAAAGCAATGAACCTCTAGGCTGAGCAAGAGGAAAAAAGGAAGAAGCAAATTTTCAATATAAAGAATGAAAGAGGGGCTTATCACTGCATATTCCGTAAATAATGAAAGAGGATAGTGGAGTATTATAAACAACAGATAAAAATCTTTAAAACTATAAGCTATCTAAGATCACTGATGAAAAAAAGATGTGTCATATTATATTATATTAATATTATATTATATTATTAACACTCTATTATGGTAGTGTGGGAAACTTGTACATGAAAATTGGGCTTTTAGTTAAGAACCCTGCCACCAAAAATTTAACAGCAAATGATTTCACTGGTGAATTATACTAAACATTTTAAGAAACAAATAATGTCAATTCTCTAAATGTTATTCCAGAAAATTTAGGAAGAGGTAGCACTTCCCACCTCATGAGCTCAGTGTTACCCTAAAACCAAAACTGTTACAGAAAAAGATATTCAAAGAAAACTACAGACCCATATTTCTCATGAATATAGAAACAAAAGTTGTAGCAAATTTTGGCAAACTAAACCCTACAGTATATATAAAGGCTAATACCTTATGGCAGGTGGGGTTTATCCAGGACCGCAAGATTAGTTATGTGTACAAAAATTAGTGTAATTCACCACATTAACAGACTAAAGAAAAAAAGCCATATGATTATCTTAGTAGATGAAGAAAAGAGGTTTGAGAAAAAGTAACATCTAATTATGGCAAAATATCTCTAAAACTAGGAACAAAAAGGAACTATCTTATCCTGATAAAGCTCATTTATGAACAATATAAACTAATATACTTAATGGCATAAGACTGAATGCTTTTTCCCAAAGCTCAGGAAAAATCAAGGATGTCAGCTCTCACCATTTCTATTAAACATTAGGCTGGAGTTTTTAAGCAGTATTGTAAAGCAAGAAAAAGAAATAAGCATGCAGATTGGAAAGTAAGAACTAAATCTGTTTGTGTGTTTATGTTTGTATTTATAACTTGGTTATATATGTAGAAAATCCCAAGTACTCTACCAAAAAAAATATGCTTAAAGCAAGAAATGACAAGATTACATGATACAAAGCAATCACAGAAATCAATTATATTTCTAAATATTTGCACTGTACAACTGGGAATTTAAATTTAAAATTACTTATATTAAATTGCATAAAATACAGACTTTTAGGGGTAAAGTAGACAAAAGATATATATGGAAAACTACAGACTGGGACTGACAGAGCCCTGGCTGGTATGGCTCAGTGTGTTGAGTGCTGGCCTGTGAACCAAAAGGTCACTGGGTTGATTCCTGGTCAGGGAACTTGCCTAGGTTGCAGGCCAGGTCCCCAGCTCAGGGTGTGTGAGAGGCAGCTAATCAATGTTTCCCTCTCTCCCTCCCTTTCCCTCTCACTAAAAAAATTAAATCTTTAAAAAATTATTTAAATTTTATTTTAAAAAGAATACTGCTGAGAGAAGTTAAAGTAGTAAAGTGGTATGTAGCATCATGTTCATGGATCAGGAAATTCAATATTGTTAAGGTATCACTTGTCCCCAACTTAATCTCTTTATTTAGTGCATTCCCTGTCATAATCCCAGGAGGCTTTTGGTACAAATTGGCATCCTGATCCTAATATTTATACGGGGAATCAAAACAGGTAGGGTAGCCATAGCAATTTTTAAATGAAAGGCAATTTGGGGGGAGTACTTACCAGGCTATAATAATTAAGGAACTCTCTTACTGGTGAAAAGATAGTCATGGAGACCATGGAGTAGAAGAGAGAGCCAAGAAACAGAACTGCACATACAGGGTGAATGGATTCTAATCAGTGTTGCCAGAACAATTCACTGGGCAAAGAAAAGTCTTTTAAATTATGGTGTCATAGCCAGAAAAATAATTCTCAATTCTTACAGGATATTTTACAGCCCTGCTTTAGAAATCCAAAGAGGTCTAGGGCACATGCCTGGGTTGCAGGGCCACGCAACTCAGTCGGGGGCACGCAAGAGGCAGCCACACATTGATGTTTCCCTCCCTCTCCTTCTCCTTCCTTTCCCCTATCTAAAAATGCAAATAAATAAAATCTTTAAAAGAAAAGAGGAATCCAAAGAGAATTTTTTGCTCTTATGAAAAACACTTTTCCAGTACTAATAATATAGGTCTTCTGTAAAAGTGAAGTTGCATAACGTGAACTTTCAGAACTCAGAGGATACTCCTCACATTGTGCCATTTTGACTCAGAAAGGTTTTATGGGAACACTTTGTTAGGGTGGTGTGTGAAACCTGTATACGAAAAAATTATAATCAATTATAGATCTAAAAGGAGGAACTAAAAGCATAAAAATTATTGAAGAAAACAGACATTTTTAGTGTTTTGGATTTAAAAGATTTCTTAAGTAGGACAATAAAAAGGCACAAGCCATAAAAGAAAACAATTATAAAATTAGACTTCATTAAAATTAAAAGCTTGTAATCTTTGAAAAATGTATACAAAAGAGGCAAAGCCTCAAAGAAAAAATGTTAGCAAAACATGTGTCAGCTAATGTATCAAGAAGATAGTCAGAGCTTGTACAGATCAATAATAAGACCAATAACCTGTTACCATATTGGGAAAAATATTTTAACACATACATCATCAAATAAGATATGCAGATTATAAATGACCACATGAAAAGATGCCCACTTTGTAAGTCATTGGAAAATGCAATTTGAAACTAAAGGTTCTGTGTACCTACAAGAACAAAAGTTAAAAGCATAGCTTACATGTAAGTGTTGTAGAATGTGGGCCTAGGACTCATATTACACTGCCGGTGGGAATCCAGGGCAGTACCTCTGGAAAAGTTTAGTTGTTTCTTAAAAGTGTTCATACAGTCTAGCCCCTCCTTTCTAAGTTTTTACTAAAAAAAGTGAAAGCATAGGTCCACACAAAGACATGTACAGTAATATCTATAGCAGCTGGAACAGGTTAATGGATAAATAAGTGTGGTATATCCATACAATGGAATACCACCAAGCAATAAAATGGAATGAATTATTATTAATGCAAACAGTCACATGAGTGAAGCTCAAAATAATTATGCCTATTGCACGAAACCAGACAGAAAGAAGTACATAGTGTATGATTTGATTTATATAAATTTGTAGAGAATAAAGAATGACCATGGTTGCCTGGGAGGATTAGGAAGGGGAAGGAGACATGCGGAACCTTTGGGGGATGATGGGTAGGTGTGTCTTCTTGACTGTGGTGATGCTCTCATGAACAGACATGTCTGAAGCTCATAAAATTATATACTTTATAATGTACGCCATACTGTACATCAGTTATATCTTGATAAATATGTTTGAAAACAGACAAAGAACAATGTTGGAATATTTTCATATGTGATGGTATTTTCATGATTTAGGTGAATATAGTAGCTGCTCTTAACATGATTTTGGAATTTGCCATTTGAAATTCAAAAAGATTTTTTAGCCATAGGAGTTGTCTGAGAGAAAATATTGTATTATATTAAGTATATTACTTTTCAAATATGCTTTTCAGCAGAATTCCACTGAATTTTTAAAAGTCATTTATTTTATCCTTGTTACTTGGCAGGGAGTGTCTCAAAATACTGCACTGACTTTAGATAATGAAGTTGATCTCAGGAAATTAAGGATAGTTATGGAAATTATGAATTAAAATTTGTAGTATTTACACTTCTAAAACTCATTTAAATAGGACAATTGTAGGAGACTAGAAAGTACAACAAAAAAATTATGTGTAGGGAACCGCTTCACAAGACATGGAAATATAGCTCAGCACCCATGTGGAAAAACTTATAATCTTTGAATTACAAGTTTTTCCCATTGGGGAGTGAGGTTGTCATGCAGGAACATGCCCATGGAGAGATTCTCCCATGGTAAATCAGGCCTGTGTTATACCTAGGCAGCTTTGTGATTTGCTCTTGCTAAAACTCCCTCACCCTGAGTTCAGGCAGAAAACACTTGCTGCATATCTTTAAAGGAACTTCCCCAAGTCTGTGCTAAGTCTCCCAAGGACTGAAGTGTAGTAAGACCTGTAACTCTTATCATTCCCTTGCATTTGCACCCTTTTTTCCTTGTTAATCTGTAAGAAATAATCAGTAACATCCCCTGCATTGCTATCTGTAAAAAGTACTTATCTAAAGCAAACCTAAGTGTAATGAATGAAAACCTTCTTTGATGTATGCTATTAGAAAGCCAATAAAAGCTTGTCAGGGCAAGGGTAGGGGTGCTCTCCCCTTGAGAGAGTGGTCCTACAGTCTCTTTTCCTCCACAGGACTCGGTAGTACCTGTGAATTTGTCTTATCTCGTCCACAGTGTTGCAGACCCCACAAGCCAGGTTCCGCATCAATTATGGATTAATTTTCTGTCTCATTTAAAACTTTTCCATTTAACTCTTATGGAATTTATTATACTTAAATAAAATCCATGCTTTCCATAGCTTAGCATTGTTATGTCAGGTAGTGCACTTTGTGATTGCTACAATGGTATGTAGTTTTCCATCAAGTGGCGAATATATTTGGAATCAATTTTCTTCCCTTATACCTGCTTCTTAGGATTCTTTTTTTAATGCATTCTGGAAGCAGCTATTTCTATACTGTTTATATTAGTCCAAAAACAACTCTATATGTATATACACATTTTATAGTGCTGAGAACTCCAACTCGGGAAACTTGGAAACCATTTCTAGTATTTAGATTGCATAAGTTTTATCTGTTAAAATTGTTACTGCAAGAGCTAACTGTAGTAAGAATTACTTTGGTTGCCATAAAGTATTTTGTACTAATTTGAATTACATTTCTTTTAAGCTTCCTGTTTTAAAATGAATTGCTCATGATAATATTGAGTTGTTTTTATTCTTTGGTTTAATCAACCAGTAAGAAGTGAATGAGTACTTTGTGTAGCAAAATGTTGTGGAAGAGAGACAGAAGTTCTTGTCTGTGAGAATTTTATGATCTTAACTGAGAAACACAAGATTTCAAAGGAACACTGTATATTACTTCAGTCTAATATTAGGATCTAGTTGAATTATTAAATATTATTCTGATAATTAGGATCAGCACATGACAGTGGCAGGTGGTGATGCATTGTTGAATGAAACACATTGATTTTAGTACCTGTGAACTTTGAAGGAATTATTGACTTGGCAGGATTTGGGAAGGCTTTGTGGAAAAGGAGGGATTTTTGCTTAAGTGGGTTTGTTGAGGTAAAGTACTTAAAAGCAGTGCCTGGCACATAGTTAGCACTCACTTAAAGGTGGAAGTTGCTGCTGTCTCCAGCAGCATCTGAATGGAAAGGGTTATAATACACACTTGAATGAGGAAGACATTCTTGGCTGGGTAGTGACGTGATGTGGTATGAGTATGTGCCATTTATGAGCTGAAATTGTGAGCTCAGCCTCGCTCGGTCCTTTGCTGTTTTTGTGCTTGCCTGCTTTGAGTCTTGATAACAACACTTTAGTTATGATGGAAGAGCGCTGGGCTCATTACTAATCTCTATTACTTAAATTTTCATTAATTTTAAAATGAGTATCATTTTACTGTAAAGATTTTGTTAATCTTCATTTAAAGGGTTTTTCCCCCCCAATAGGAGCATCGGAATTTGCCTTTTATGCGTGAACTGAGATACCTGTTTGCACTTCTTGTGGGTACTAAAAGGAAATATGTTGATCCATCAAGAGCAGTTGAAATTCTTAAGGATGCTTTCAAATCAAACGACTCCCAGCAGGTAGCTGTATTGTGCTTACTTGTTTATTAATTAACCATTTGTGTTTTACTTAATCTGATTATGCAGTCAGCACTTTTTGAAAAGATTCATGCAATTGAAGATGTTATTCATCTTTATTAAAATAAGCTGGAGCCATTTAAAACATTATTAATTTGGAAGATCTTTTTAATTAAGAAAAAGTAATAAGGTATAATTTATTATTGAAACTGGTAAGTTAAAACAATAGGTAAAAGTAAGAATGCTCTAAAATGTGTAATTAAAAACCTTCACATATGCATGATAACCCAATGCTAATACACAACCTGATTTGATGTGCCTGTTTTTGCTGGCAGGGAATGGCTTTCCTTAAGAGCTCAGAGAAAGTTTCTCAGCTACATTAACTTTGTTGTTGCTTTTATTTTCTCCTCTTTATGTAAAACGATTTAGTGGCTTTTTATTCATTTCTTTAAAAGAATATTGGGAATTTTTGTATGCTCTGTAAACAAACCAACATTTTTACATATAATTTGAGAAGTCAGAGAAAGGAAAGGAGGGAAGCAGAAGAGAAGCAAGAAAGTAGCAGAGAATAATAGCAGCGTTGGAAGCCATGGCAATGAAACAATGGGCAGAAGTAAAACATTTTGTAAAAGCCACTACATTTGCCGTGTAGTCTTTGTAGTACTTGGATGTGTCCTTGGTGCACAGGTGTGTGGAGAGTGTGTTGGGAGAAGGGTTCTGGAAGGTACGTAATTCTGCCATTCTGCCACCACCTTCTTTGTGCATTTTGGGGTGTTTTTTTTTACATTTTATGACAAAGATAAATGAACAAAAACAGTGCCCATAATGTTGTTGATGGAAATGCATTCCTTACACGGAGTAGTAAGAAAAGCATTTCAGGGACCCACATGTGGGAGATGAGGTGTGGTGAGATTTGCTGGGATGGAAATGAAAGGCTGCTCCCAGGCTCCCGGTGTTTCATTTGTGCCCATCAAGCTGTGGAGGAAGTTCAGCCTTGTCCTCTGGTACCCTTCTGGTTCTAAGTTTGTTTTTTGTGGGGTTTTTTTGTAGTAGTGCTTTCTTCTTTAGGATGTATATCCTATTTTCTTGTGGCACAGAGTACCCAATTAAATTTGAAAAGTCACTTCTGTACCTTGACTTATCTTTTTTTCTGGAATTGCTTTTTCTTTGTCTTTTTCTTACAAGGCAACACAAGCTTCACCTGGAGCCATGTCTGTGCACGGGTAGACTCTGGTTTTGTTTGAGGGGAGAGGAGACAGCCAGCCGTTAATGCTGTGATGTGCTCCAGAATGCCCCAGCGGGAATGCCTCTGCTTTGTGCTAGCAGTGTAGAATAATTACTTTTCTCGTCGCGGACTTTTTTCTCTACAAGGTCTTTTAAAGTATTTGCACATCAATTGAGGCAGATATAGGTTTGATTCTGATTCTCTCTACTCTTGAGGCACCTGAATCTGAAGTACACATTCATGACATAGTGGAATAAACCTATAAGTGAAGTAAGCATCATTATGTTTTTTTAAAAGTGTTTTTATACTTACATTCATGTTCTTTCTCATTATATCATATTTTGAAATATGCAGAAGTCTTTGGATACCCTTTGGGATATAGTACTGCCAATTTTAGCTGTAACTTTTAATTTAAAACTAAAATATTATAATAAAGGCCTCATCTTTTTTTCTCATTATGAAAGCAGGTAGAATTATTTTGTAATTGTAAATTTTAGATTGATTGCCAAAACAGACAGAGATTAATTTCTTCTGAAGAGTATTTTGATAACTAGGAAATCTTTTTGTTTCTTGTCAAATATCCTTGCAAGATAAGGTGCTATAGCTTGCTTGGATAACTGTAACATGTTACAACAATCCAAGTGACTTAAAAACAATAGAAAATTTTTTCTCCATAGTTCAAGAGGCCAGAAACCCTAAATAAAGGTGTTGGCTCGGCTTGGCTTCCTCCATGGCTCCGAGGGAGATAGGCCTTTCTTGCCTCCATTGTCTTCTGTCGGCTCCTGGCGTTCCTGACTCGGGGCAGCCGAGCTCCAGTCTCCTCTTCTTCTTCACGTCCCCTGTGCGTCTGAGTGTTTGCTCACATTCTGTGTTTTGTAAGAACCCTCATAATTGGATTTAGGCCCTCTCCTACACCAAGATGATCTCATCTTGAAGTCTTTACCTTAATTATGTCTGCAAAGATTTATTCTCAATAAGTTTACATTCTGAGGTTCCTGGTGGACATATATTTTGGCAGGTGACTGTTTAACCTACTACAGATAGTATGGATATTTGTAGCTGGATTTTTTGCTGACTTTAGTTGTTTTTAACTATGCAAGTTTGGAGTAATTTGTGTAATCTTCCTAGACCTTGGTTTCAATATTTTAAAGGTGTATAGGTAGGCCCAGATGCTCTTAAAACAACTTTTAGATGGAAAAACATATGATAGTAAGTTGTTTTATATCTAGGGCTGGTTTGATAATTAAAGACAAATTGCTTACATTGATTTATCTGTTCCTTCCCCAGGTTTGATGTGAACCCATTTTCTATGTTTCAACTCATATATCTGAAAATATTGTGCTAGTCAATATGTACAACTGCTGTTGGCTATTCCTGGTTTTCTCTTAGGGGAGCTAGAACCAAAGGAAGGGGTAACAAAAGGTGGTGGATATGCTGGTTCTGGGTGGAGGATCAGTTTGAAGTTCATGGGGTAGTAGACTCAATAGTTGGGCAGTCAGTGATCGATTGAACTCAACCTAAGTTAACAGATACTTTAGTTAAGTTGTTACAGCTTTTTAAAAAATGAATTAAGAAAAGCATATCTTCCTTCTAAGAGAGAAGCCAGTAATAATTCTCTATAAAATGAAGAACTTTTTGGTGATAGGGGTGTTTTTTTAAATATTCATTACAGAGCTTTTTTGAGAGACTAATAATTCTTTTTAAAAACCTCATTTGTTAGTTTAAATTTTTTTCCTGAAATAGGACCCACTCACAATGATTATCAATATAGTACTTGTTTTTCTTAAATACTGGTTTTAAGTTATAAATATTTCTTGCATTTGATGTGAAAGATTTCATGTGATGCCTTTGTGAGGAATCAGTAATTATAGATTCGAATATCTAGCTGTAAGTTTTATGTTACAATATTTAGTATTATTGTAAATAGGCTCAAAAATCAACAGACTTTTTCTCTTTCCACAGCAAGATGTGAGTGAGTTTACACACAAATTATTAGACTGGTTAGAAGATGCCTTCCAAATGAAAGCTGAAGAAGAGACGTAAGTTACCATGAAATTTATTGTTAGGGTTTTAAGAGCTTTATAAATAGCATTCTTTTTTTTTTTTCTTTTTATGTATTCAATGTCAACAGAGAAATAGGAATCTAACATAGACACATGGGAACCCAAATGTAATTCTATATTATTGACTAGCTGTTTGGAATTTGTGGACACAAAGGCTGGTAGCTTTAGATTTCCACTATAAGAGCAGCATCTAGCCAGAAATATATAAAAACTGGTCCCTGAAAGGGCTAGTTCCAAATACCTGCTTCTTTTTCTTAGATTCAGTGAGGAGAGGGACATATTTCAAGTAAGACTTAAGATTTCAGAAGAGATGGAAAAGTTCTAGCTTCTTTCTAAAACAGTTTCAGAAAAGGGGGAAGGGGCATTTGACTAGAGCCCAAAGAAAATTAACAGAAAGTAAATTAATACGCAAGACTTCAAAATTGGAATAGAATTTCTTCCGTTAGAAGAAACAAGGATTCAGAAAATAGTCAAGTGGCACTCTTTTAAGACTCCAGATAAAAAGCAGTTTAGGAGTAATGTGTTGAAGATAGGACGCTGTATATGAAATGTTTACAGAAAATCTGGATAGATTTCAGAGGAGAAACTAGGAGCTTCGGGGTAAAGCATTTAAAGAACTGCTGAGAGCCCTGGCCAGTGCGGCTTTCTCATAGAGAGCCACTGGCCCATAGACGGAAAGGTTGGTGGTTCAGTTCCGAGTTAGGGCACATGCCTGGGTTGGGGGTTCAATCCCTGCTCCCGGCACATACAAGAAGGCAACCAATTGGTGTTTCTCTCTCACATGAATGTCTCTCTCTGCCCCCCACTTCCTCTTCCTCTAAAAGCTATAAATTTTAGTATTAGAACCTTGAAGTTACAAGGAACATGAGCTTTTAAGAAAGGAACCAGAGCGGATGACTCTAGAGGAAGCACACATAGGCTCTCCATTAGTCTGGCAGGGCAGTATTGCTGGTGGAATCTTTCAGCTCAGAAGATGGACAGGGCTTGTTTGATTAAGCGTGGCTTCGCCCTTCCCAACAAGCCCACATAACCATATGTCATACAAATAACCGTATATCATACAGGCACTCGTGAGCACAGGCTATGGCAGGTCCTCTTGTAAGGGCATCCTGCGTAGTAAGTCATTTTAACCTTTAAAATATCCTTGTGAGTTTAATTGCGGTTATTATCTTCAGTTGACAGGTGATGAAATGGAAGAGTAAATTTAAGTACTTTACCCAAGGTGACACTAAATAGCAGAGCTGAGTGCATGATAACCATATACATTATTGTTCTTTTAATTTTTTCTTTATTATTTACAAGTACAAAAATGTAACATAAATATAACCATATTTATGTCTTTTTGAACATGCTTTAGGGACGAAGAGAAGCCAAAGAACCCCATGGTGGAGTTATTCTATGGAAGATTCCTAGCCGTGGGAGTACTTGAAGGTATAGTTATGTTTACCTTTTATTACAATAGAAGAGATATTATCTGTTAGCTCCTTTGTCTTAATACTAACTCTTATTTGTTGAATGATTATTCATTTTAATTGACCTACCCTGTCTAGAATTCCCGTTACATTGTGACTATTAATCATTTACATACAAAGCACAGAATGTGTGATGAAAACAAAGGTACAGAGTGACTTACCACATGCTAATTGATACTTAATATTATCCTGTTCTTTCCCTGGGAAGGCTTATATAATTGGTGAATATTAGGATACAGGGATTGAGGGGGCAGTTGTTGGTGGGTCTTTTGAAAATAATAATGTAGTTAAATATTGTGTTTTGGACTATTATCACTGTCTTTGAGGGTTTCAGGTCTATGAATGTTGAAAGCTGCCTTTAACAATTTAGCATAATCAAGATATTGCAGGGTTTTTTTCCTTTTTATTGAATTTATTGGGATGACACTCATTAACCAAGTAATACAGGTGCACAATTTTACAGCACATCATCTGTGCAAGGTATTGTGTGTTCACCACCCTAAGTCAAGTCTTTGTCCATCACCATTTATCCCCCCATACCCTCCTCTACTTCCCTCGGCACCCCCCAGACATGACCACACTATTGTCCCGACCAAGAGTTTTCTCTCTTTCTTTTTAATTCAGTCCCTCCACTCCCCAGCCCAGCTCCACTCCTCACAGCTGTCAGCCTGCTCTCTGTGACTGTGTCTCTATTTTGCTTGTTAGTTCATTTTGTTCATTAGATTTCACATTTGAGTGGAATCATAGGGGACTTGCTTTCTCTGACGGGCTTATTGCACTTAGCGTAATCTTCTCTAGGTCCATCCATGCTGTCACAAAGGGTGAGGAGTCCTTGTTTTTGATGGCTGAGTAGTATCCCATTGTGTAAATATACCACAGCTTTTTATCCATTCATCTACTGATGAAACATTGGGGCTGCTTCCAGATCTTGGCAATTGTAAATAATGCTGCAGTGAACATAGGGTGCATATGTTTTTTCAAATTGGTGTTTCGGGTTTCTTCAGATAAATTCTCAGAAGTGGAATAGCTGGGTCATGAGACAGTTACATTTTAAATTTTTTGAAACGACTCCATACTGCTTTCCACAGTGTCCGCACCAGTCTGCATTCTCACCAGCAGTGCAAACGGGATCCCCTTTCTCCACATCCTTGTTGACACAAGGACCCCCTTGTAATGTCTGTTGATTTATTGATATAGCCTTTCTGACAGTATGAGGTGACTCTCCTGGTGGTTTTAATTTGCATCTCTCTCATGCTTAGTGACATTGAGTATCTTTTCATATGTCTACTGCCCATCTGTATGTCTTCTAAGGAGAAGTGGCTATTCAAGATCTTTGACCATTTTTTAATTGTATTGTCTTTTGGGGGATATTGAGTTTTTATGTTCTTTATAGATTTTAGATATTGACCTCTTATCACATATATTGGGGAATATGTTCTCTTTTTCAGTGAGTTATCTTTTCATTTTGTTAATGGTTTTCTTTGTTCTCTGAAAACTTTTTGGTTTGGAATAGACCAATTTGTTTATTCCTTCTTTTGTTTCCATCGCCCAAAGGGAGATAATCTGAAAAAATATTGCTATGACAAATGTCCTAGATTTTACTGCCTGCGTTTTCAACTAAGATTTTTATGGTTTCAAGCCTAACATTTAAGTATTTAATTCATTTTTAATTTATTCTTATGTATGGTATAAGTTGGTTATTTAGTTGTATTTTTTTGCATTTACCTGTCCAGTTTTCCCAACACTATTTGTTGAATAGACTGTCTTTACCTGATTGTAATGTTTTTTGCCTCTTTTCTCAAATGTTAATTAACCATAAAGGTTTGGGTTTATTTCTGGGCTCTTTATTCTGTCTTTTGATCTATGTGTATGATTTTATGCCAGTACCATGCTGTTTTGATTACCATGGCCTTGCAGTATAGTTGGATAGCAGCTAATATGATTGTTATAACTTTGTGGTTCTTTCTCATGATCGCTACAGCTATTAGGGGTCTTTTGTCATTTCATAAAATTTTTCAAAATATTTGTTCTGGTTCTGTGAAAGATGCCATAGGTGTTTGGTAGTAATTGTGTTGAATCTATAGATTGCTTTGGGTAGTATGGACATTTTAATGATGTAATTCCTCTTATTCATAAACACAGTATATGCTTCTGCTTATTTATATCTTCCTGAATTTCTTTCTTCATTGTCTTATAATTCTCCAAATATAGGTCTTTTACCTCCTGGGTTAAATTTACTTGTATTTCTAGGTATTTTTTTATACAATTGTAAATGGGATTGTTTTCTTAGTTTTCCTTTCTAATAGTTCAGTATTGGCACATGAAAATGCAACTGATCTCTGAATATTAACTTCGTATGCTGCCATTTTGCTGAATTCATTTATCCATTCTAGTAGTTTTTTGGTGGAATCATTAGGGTTTTATATATAGTGTATCATATCATCTGCACATAATAACAGTTTAACTTCTTCCCTTCCAATTTGGATGCCTTTTATTTCTTCTTCTTGTCTGATTGCTGTGACTAGGATGCCCAGTACTTTTTGAATAAGACTGGGGAAAACAATATCCCTGTCTTGTTCCTGATCTTAGTAGAAACACTTTTAGTTTTTGCCTATTGAGTATGATGTTGGCTGTGGGTTTCTCACATATGGCCTTTATTATGTTGAGGCAAGTTCCCTCAATTCCCATTTTACTGAGAGGTTTTTTTTTTATCATAAATGGCCGCTGGGTTTTATCATATGCTTTTTCTGCATCTATTGATATGATCATGCGTTTTTTATTCTTCATTTTGTTTATGTGGGATATCATGTTTAATGATTTGTGGACATTGTACCAACCTTTCATCTCCGAAATAAATCCCACTTGATCATGGTGTACGATCTTTTTGATGCATTGCTGTATTCAGTTTGCTAATATTTTGTTGAGGATTTTAGCAACTATGCTCATCAGGAATATAGGCATATAATTTCCTTTATTTTTTAGTGTCTTTATCTCATTTTGGAACTGGGATAATGCTGGCCTCATAAATGAGCTTGGGAGTCTTTTTTCCTCTTGAATTTTTTGGAATACTTTGAGGGCGATAGTTGTTAGTTCTTTTTCCAGTGTTTGGTAAAAGTCACCTGTGAAACCATCTGGTCCAGGATTTCTGTTTGTCAGGTGTGTTTTCATTACTGCTTCAATTTCACTGGTTGTGATCTGCCTATTCAAAAGACTGCATGTTTCTAGAAATTTATCCATTTTATTCAGATTGTTCAAATTTCTCTTCTCTTTCTGGTATCCTCCTATGTTGCAGATATTGTTACACTTCGTGTCCTAAATGTTTCTTAAACTATTCTTATTTTTTGCTATTATTTTTTCTGTCCTGAATCATGTGGCTCACTTGGTCTGGTGTCATCCCAGAGAGCAAAAGGTCACCAGTTTAATTCCTGGCCAGGGCACATGCATAGGCTACAGGTTAGGTCCCTGATTGGAACAGGTATGAAAGGCATCCAATCAGTGATTCTCTCTCATCCATGTTTCTCCCTTTTTCTTTCTCTCCCTGCCCCTTCTCTCTAAAAAAAATAATAATAAATTTAATAATTGTTTTTTTGCTGCTCTAAATTGGTTTTTTTTCTACTTTGTCTTTCAAATTATTAATTTAATTATCTGCTTCACCCAACCTACTATTTATTCTTTCCAGGAGTTCATCATTTCAAATATTGTATTCTTCATTTCTAACTGCTTGTATTTTATGGTTTCTATGTCCTTTTTCATGCCGTCAAACATCCTTATCACCATTACTTTGAACTGTATATTTTATATCTGATAAATTGCTTTTCTTATTTCATTTACCTCTTTTTCTGGATATTTCTTTTCTGTTCTTTCATTTGAGGGGTTATTTTTAGTCTGTCCTTTTTGGCTGCCTCTTTGTGTTTGTTTCTGTGTATTAGATAGATCCGCTCTGAAGCCAGTCTTCATGGGATACATGTCCTATGGGGTGCATTCAGGTACTTCTGACTGTCATTAAGAGTATCTGAATATTACTGAGGAAAACTATAGTGGATCAAGAACCTATAGCAGATACTAAGCTTCACTGGTCTCAATTCTTTCACCCTACCTGGCAGTCATATTTATTTTGTTCAATCACTGTCTGCAGCCCTGTTTTCTGCATTAATGATATCCATCTTTTCTACTTTCAATCTGATCTCTTTGTTTCTTTATTGTCTGAAAAACACCTTACCTCAAATTTCATGAGTTTACTGAGAAACTAATGAAACCTAACCAGTCATCCTAAGGCACTGAATCTAATTTTTAAAAATAATATTACATAGTTCTTAAAAACATTATCATCAGATATATGTGCTTCGGACTCCACATCCTGGATCCGTTCCAAACGCAACTGTATTTATATTTGTCTCTTCAGATAATAGAGGAATATTCAATCTAATATCACCAGGCTATTTATATGTTCTCAGAATCTCATTCCTTCATGCTTTCACTCAGACTTTACTGTACTTACTATCTTGTGGGTAGTTTTTTGTTGCTATTCTTGTTATTTTGTGTCTTCAGCTTTTCCTTCTTTAACACGTCTTGCTCGCTGATATTTAGACTTGGTCTGGTGTTGTATATCTTAAAAAAACTTTTCCCTTCACACACTCTTTCCAGTTAATCCTGTTTATAAAGTTAAGCCCCTCTAAAGAGAGGTTTGATTTCACCTGCTAACTCTCCATTTATTGCTTTTGCTTCTGCTTCTGGTCCAGACCTCTTCTAAAAGGAATCTTTTTAAGGTTATTGTATTGATTTTTCACATGTTCAGGTTCGTTGGATCCCTCTTGTTTCTCATATTGAACTCTTATCAGCTATTAATTTTATTGACTCTACTCCTTCCTCTTCTTCCTTTTTTTCTATTGTTTTCATAAAAATACTTCTTTGACTTCTGTGGCACCATATTTTGTTGGCTTTTTAAACATTTCTGAGTGAGCACTTCTTAGAAGTTATATTTGTAGTCTCCTATATCTAAGGCAGGACATTCAGGGACTCGGCGTAGGCCCTTCCTCACTCTGATGGTTCGCTAGGCAGTCTCATTCACTCCCTGGATTTCACACTCTCAGCAAGCCAGCAACTCTCTCAATTAGAACTTTGGACCAGAGGATTCGTCTTACAGACTCATATATCCAACTGTCTTCTCTACTTGAAATCTCTTGGGACATTCTAAAACAATGATGGCCACTATTACCTTAAAACAAAAGGAAAAAAATCCACTGTGCTTTCTTCAGTGGTGCCCCTTTCAGTACACAAACACCAATCCAATTGTTGATGTTTCACATCTGAGTCTCATTCCTGATACCTTCCTTACTCTTCTGTCCTCCATCCTGCCCAGGAGCCAGTCAGCCAGGTCTTGCTGGGGTCTCGTATACGTGCGTCAGTGTGTCTGTGGGTAAATTCATCTGCTTTTGTACTTTTACTAGTAACACCCCACACTACTTGTATTTCTAGATGGATTCAGTAATGATCTCCTAATAGTCTACCACTCACTTAACACGAAAGCCAGAAGGATGTTTTAAAAATCTAAATCTGATCCTGTTATTCCTAGATTTAACAATTTGATGACTTTCTATTATACTCAGAATATACTGGGGAAAAAAACTCTTAACAAGGGCCATTAGATTTTGTAGATTTTGACACAACTACCTAACTTTTCATTGTCATTCCCCATTGCTTCCCCAAGCTATACTGTCCTCTTCTTAATTCTTCAAACATGCCAAGTTCTCTGCAGCTTTAAACTCTTATGTGTGCTCTTCCTTGGCCAAGAATACTCCATAGGTCCCTGACACTCTGGCCTGCCTAAGTCCCACTCACTATTCAAGTCTCAGCATAAATGGCCTTTTGCTGTAGAATTCTTGTCTGTTCTACTCTCCAGCCCTAAAGACAAGGGTAGCTCCTCCTTTTTAACTCTCTTATAGCAGTCTGTCTCACCACACCTTTTATAACACTTAAAACAACAAACATTATTTATTCAGTTATATGTGTAATTAATGTGTATAATGTCTTCCAAAGAGGCTGAGAGTTTCCTCAGTGCAGGAACCATATTTCTTTTGTTTACTGTTCTACATATTCTCAGTGTTTAGCACAGTATCTTACCTTTAGAAGGTACTCTTTGAAAGAATAAATTAATAAACAAAAATATACATGTGTGTATATATATATACACACACACATACATGCACATACATGTGTATATATAATTGCATAAATACTGTGTGTGTGAATTGAATATCTCTGGCTAGATGTGAATGTACATATGTACATGTATAAACCAAGAGGAAAATTACCCAAACTCACTACTCCCTGGAACGTAATCAGTCAAAGTTAAACAGTTTTGAGGTTCAAGAGATAATTCTTATATACAGTTAGTAGCTAAAAGGCCACGATGAGGAACAGTAATTTAATTAATTTTCCCCCCTCCTATAGGTAAAAAATTTGAAAATACTGAAATGTTTGGTCAGTACCCACTTCAGGTCAATGGATTCAAAGATCTACATGAGTGCCTAGAAGCTGCTATGATTGAAGGAGAAATTGAATCTTTACATTCAGAGAATTCAGGAAAATCAGGCCAAGAGGTGAGTTTAGCATTTACATCATTCCTCTCCCTCAGGTCTTCCCGACAGTGCAGTAAAGCACAATGTAAGGCCCTATTTCTGTAGCTCCCCAATAATTGAGAGAATACTCTGAATATATGTTTGCACTTAATGATGGTAATTTAGACACATTTGGGAAACCTTCACAGTTAATATAGTTTATAACCTATATTATATTGTCATATAAACAGACGTTCTCAAAATTTTCTGTTAAAATTTTCCTTTTGGATATTTTTTAGTCTTTTTAGACTTTTTAGTTGAGGTGCCAGTAATTACAACATGGTAGTTCTAGAAGTAAAGAAGAAAAACGCTGTTAGGGTGGAATTCTATGAAGATATATGTTACTTATATTAAATATTATTGGAATTTGTCCAAGCCTAAGTAGGCAACATCAGACCCCTTTTCTTGTAAAATTGCTGGGTAATTGTATGAAAGGCAGATGGAAGAACTTGCTTTCTACAAAAAGAAATAATTTGCAAAATATTAATACCTTTTACCTGTTTGTCTGTGTCCACTGGTCTGTTCTCCCACCCAACTCTGTCTCTTCAACTCCATCTGTGTGTCCATCTACCCATTCATGTGTTTATCCATCAGGGAGCGTTTACACAGTAGAAAGCAAAGGACAGTGTGTCTCTAAAATCATCGTTAAGCAATTGCGGGTGGTTGTCTCTTTGTAAGATCCAAGCCTGAGAGCAGGATCTTCATCTGCGCCATTCACTGCTGTGTCCCTAGTGGGTAGTACAGTAACTGCAAATAGAATTGAGTAACACATTGATTGACTGAATGAATGAAAATCTTAGTGTTATCAAAAAAAATTCAGAGGTCTTTACCCTGAATAGGTGCTTAATAAATATTAAGTGGTGCTATCTCTGCGTTGATTATGTAAAAAAGGACTGGGTTCTTATATCTTGGGAATAAATTGATTTAATCTGAATTGTGTGATTTTTTTTAAAAAAAGATATAATTAACCATGTTTTGTTCTAAAACCTTTTCTTCCCTCAAACACCCACACAAAAACAGAAGTAAATAATATTTATTACTTTGTTTTTTAAGAGGAAAAGAAAAAGGATATGTGAAATCATTTTTCCCTACATCACAGAGTGCTCACTTCAGTCATTTTCAGCAGATGCCTGGGCCCCACTGCAAAGCTGTCAGCTTGGAGCCTGGGGTAGGGATGTGGTACGTGGCACAAGAGCCCCGCAAGTGACTCTGATGCAGACCTGTGGCTGGGAATATTTAAAGAAAGCTTATTTATTTTCATTGGGAAACATGGCCTAGGACTGCGACTTTCCCAGGATCCCATAAGGGGACCAGAAAGCAGGCATCCTTGAAGTGTGATCTGCTTTCTATTATTAAGTAAAATGATGATGGATGGACAGGTTCAGGCCGGGAAAGGTGGGATGGCATATTCCTTACTTTGTCAAAGTAGCTTGTAAGCTAAATACTCCATGTTTTATTGGTAAATAATCTTTGTGACACGGTCCGAGCTTTTAAAAATGCTTTCCTTACGTTGACTTTAAATGTCATTATTTTTTAAAAACTACTTTGTCCTTCCCCTTTGCCTCATAATCTAAGGCCTTACACTGTGCTATATGCTCTCTGCCTACGCTTTTCCAGCTGACCTGTGGAATACAATGGTTGTCATCATCTCTAAATGCAGCAGTTTTTAAGCAGTCTCAATAATAGCATTTTTAGTCACCTGTGATTTCTATTACCAATTGTCTAGATTTGTTGAACACAGTAGTTTCACTGATAATTCAGCCTGGTTTAAGAGGATCACCAATGAAAATTTACTATCTTAAAAGTTTTTAATAACATTTAAAAATTTTAGTCTTATTTCATTATATCCTTCAGAATAACTCTCTTATTTCTCCTTGAGTCTCTACAAAAACCAATGAAAAACATTTTAGGCTTGTTTCTAAAGTGGCATAACCTCTGATGATAACACCTCTAACACTATTATTCAGTAAAAATTGTTGATTTTATTTTGATACAGAAAATATCTTTTTTGCTGAAACAGTTGTGGTACTTATTGGGAATACCTTTAGTCTCCAGAATTACCATGTTAAAACATTCAGTGAGCTGTAAGAGTTTAAATTTCTGGAATGACATAACAGGAGACAACTAAATAAATCAAAAATAGTTATATGTAAGATAAATACTCATAAAATATATTTCTAAAATATGTTTTTAAGGTAAAAGGACAGACGAGTGAAGACAAATGACAGAAACTGTTTTATGAATTGGAATAGAAGGGTTTTTTTTTTATTTTCATTCTTAGTTTATATCTCGGCTTTGTTTGGTGTTCTAGGGGAAATTCGAAATGGCAAGTCTGTTTTTTGTTTTGTTTTGTTTTGTTATGTTATGTTTTCCCCCTGCATAATGTACTCTCACAAAAGCAAGGTTTAAGACATATTAATAGAAAAATTAGCCCTGGCTGGTACAGCTCAGTGGATTAAGTGTGGGCTATGAACCAAAGGGTCACCAGTTCACAATTCCTAGTCAGGGCACATGCCTGGGTTGTGGGCCAGGTCCCCAATGGGGTCCAGGTGAAAGGCAACCACACATTGATGTTTATCTCTCTCTCTTCCTCCCTCCCTTCCCCTCTCTCTAAATAAATAAATAGCATTTAAAAAAAAAAAGAAAGAAAAAATAGCTCTTACAACTCATAAAAATGACTGTATTCTTTCTAGAATATAAATTTATAGTCATGATAAATTAGGAAGCACCTTTGTTAGCAATGCTAATAATGTAAGTTTTTACTCATAAATTATATTATTCTATTACTCCTATAGGTTTATTATATAAATATAGATATAATAATTCTGTTTAGGGATGTGGAGAACATAAACATCATTTTTACCTTTAATGACTAGTGCCTCACAAGCATCACGTACCAGTTATTAAATTAAAAAAGTAAATACTTTTTTTATTGCATGGAAAATAGTATTTTGAAAGAAAAAACTCTCATTGTCTTTCTTGATATTCTAGTTATATACTACTGTACTTACAATCCTAAAGTCATGGAGCTATAGATACCCACAGCATTTTCTAGAATGAATTTAGGGAATGTCTAGCTATCTCTTCATTTCTCTGCCAGCTTGAGAATGAGAAAGTGAAATGCTTCTATTTCTGTGGTGGGAAAAACTGCCCCTGATGTTAGAGGAAATGCATTCACAACAAATGCATGTTACATAACATATTGTGAACGGCCTTCGGTAAGGCATGGAAGCTATTTCCTGGACTTTTTCTGGTCTGCAGGGAAGCATACTCCCAATTTGGGTCATTTTAATTTCCCTTGGCCCTGGTAGGTTTCCATGAATTAAAGTATATGACTGTTTCATTTTAATGGTGACTTTTAAAGTGTTGCAGTAAAATATGAAAGTAATCGTTTGTGAAATCTACTTATATACTTGTTTCAGAATCATCAAATGGAATAGAGAATGATATCCTTAGGTTCAAAATTTGTGATGTGTATGAAGTATGTTTTAATTTCTTTTCTTTTAATCCTCACCCAAAGAAATGGTTATTTTGAGAGAGAGACAGAGAGAAACACTTTCCTGAAAGAGAAACATCTAGCCATTGCCTCCCATATGCACTCTGACTGGGGATCGAACCCACAACCTTTCTGATGTACAGGAGGGTGCTCCAACCAACTGAGTCACCTGCCCAGGGCTGTCTTAATTCTTAATAGTAGTTTTAGGTGTGGATTAAAACTAACTAGAATTTTTGCCAGTGCCATAGGAGAACAAAATAAATAAGCAAATCTGATCAAGAAATTTTAAAACTTGAAATGTTTCTGATCTTTTATAATTTTCTCTAGTCAACTTCAGATAATACCCATATATAAGATAAAACAAATTCATTAAACTTCAGCTTATCGTAGAAGATAAACCAAATCCAATTCAGGAAACCTCAATTCAAGTAATCATTAGCAGTTGAGGAGGCAGAAATAGTTTTGAATAACCATTTATTTTTATAAGCTCTATTTAGAGAAAAGTAGCAACTTCCAAGATTTTAGTTAAATCCAGTTTGCCAGATGTACATCATTCCTGCTTTTGGGGATGTTTGAATTTAAATTAGTATACTCAGCTTCCTGACATTTGTGTGGTATCATTTTCTGGCACTTGAAAACATTACACATCATTTAGTATGTATCAGTTTATTTTTATAGTAGTACAAAGCTGTACATCACATGGCTTATAATAAGCACTTTAAACACACTTGTCGCATTATTTTGTACTTCTGTATTTGTTGATTCACAATTTTGTTCATTTTTATTTCTCTTTAAGTAAATAATGTTTATATAAAACATGAATCTGTTTTATGGAAATAATTTTTTGAAGTTTTGTATTTCATGCTTAACTGAGCAGTTGCCAAAGTGTGTGGAGCAGTTGGTCCATAGCAATAAAAGCATTTATTTCATTAAATACTAGTCACTTAAAAAGATTTCAAATATAGTTACCATAAATATGAATTTTATGTTTTTAGTGACAGATCTTTTTCTTAGTCAAAATTCCAGTAGCAAAAGTGAATGTAAAACAGTTTCTGCTTTTTAGTATGAGAATAGTGATCATATATGCTATACCTTTATTTTTTAATGTCCTGCATCTTACAGTTTGTCACAGGTCTTTGGCAATATGGTTGACTATAACAAGAACAGCATATTATTCATGTTTAGTGATATAATATTGAAGCATTCGGAAGACTTGAGCTACTAAGTTATGACTTTCACCAGTACCTTTCTCTTTAGGTTAGATTCCAATGTAAAGAATTATCATGGAAGGACATTTACAAGATTTTTCTTTTCCCTGGTTGTGTGTTGTCCTCATCCTTGAAATTTTCAAGAGGTGTGAAAATTTTTAGGAAGAAGTTGAGTTTTATCTAAATATCATACCTACTCACTTCTTTGTGATGTCAGCATTATGATGATACATTTAAAAGTGCCTTTGCTGACACCCTGTGCCTGAAATGGGAGTGGAGAAAACAGAAAGGTGATACTAAGGCTTTTAATCATTGTTTTCTTTCAGCACTGGTTTACTGAACTACCACCTGTGTTAACATTTGAATTGTCAAGATTTGAATTTAACCAGGCATTGGGAAGACCAGAAAAAATTCACAACAAATTAGAATTTCCTCAAGTTTTATATCTGGACAGGTATGGTTTGGGATACATCATGACTTAGTTTTTAAACAGTAACCAAGTGAAGAATTACTGTGTTTAGAGAATAATTTTGCTTAATTTCCTTAGAATTAACCTTTACTTTTTGCATAATATATCAAGTAGCATTTGTCAAGAAAAACTTAGTTCTTTTCTACTTAGTAAGGTATAATTACTATAAATAATGTTAGAAGGAAGTTTTTAAAAAGATTTTTTTATATCATAATTCTGTCAGAATTTTCAAAAATACTATTTTGTACTGTCTGATATTTTATTACAAAATTTTGAGTGAGTTTATCTTCTATGGCATTGTCTAGACTTAATAGTGTATCTACTTCCATGACATTTAGAAATACTAATGATGGCTACTCTTCCTGATAGATATATGCACAGAAACAGAGAAATAACAAGAATTAAGAGAGAAGAGATCAAGAGACTGAAAGATTACCTTACAGTGTTACAACAAAGACTAGAAAGGTATTGTAAATTTTACAGAATTATAAGCTAACTATAGAAATTTATTTTTTAGATATTATCTAAAATCTTTAAGTTTTTCTTGAGTAATATATGACTCTGGGAGTAGATAATCATTCTGAACAGATATATTTACTAATATAGTTTAATTGTGGGTTGTTACAAACATAAAGTAATTTATAGTTGGCCTTAGAAGATTATTTTAGTATTTAAAATTAAATATTGTCACTGATAACAGATTAATCATATGGTGCTGAAAATAGCTATAAAGACAAACTAATTTACAATTGAGGTTTACTCTTTCATGAGACTGCATTCAGCTCTTGAAATTTCTATTAAGACAAGGGGTGAGTTTTCCTTCTTGACACAGAAGATACAAAGTCAGAGGCCTAGAGGGCCTCATCAAGTTTTTATAAAGAAGGGAACCAAGTCAAATTTCAGTGGTGGGCAAGGAGCGCCTAGAGAGCAGCGATGGAGAGGGAGTGGCTGCCGTCCGGCGCACTGTCCACCCGTCTAGTGGGTGGCGTCTTATGAGTATCATCTCAAGATCATGCAGCATGTCAGATTGTTTCCAGAAGAAGCCAAAATCTAGACTGATGCTCCGTGTTATAGCTTACAAATCCACAGGCTGAAATAGGACTTGAGAGATGCCAGTTTGCAGCCTCTGATCTCATCTTTGTTCCCTTGTTTTACTGTTAATTTGAAAATTAATACCTAAAACATTTTTATAGAAAAATGGTGTATATTTCAAAAATTATTATTCTTGAAAGGTATGTGTAATTATGTTGAAAAATAATCAGAGGTAAAAAAAAAAAAGGAGGAAGATAATATTAGTCACCATGAAACCAGATGACAAATCTAAAAATAAAAATAGTCTCAGGGGATGAAACTGTCAGTTTTCATTTTTCTATTGGGTTACAAGTTACATTTTCCTATTGGGTTACAAGTTACATTTTCCTATTGGGTTACAAGTTAGAGCAGCCATTTAAAATTTGGTACAGTGTATACACATATTCAGTCTTAATCAGCTTTGATTCCTTTTCTTTGGAGACCATTTAATTTCTTTCTTAAATTTGTATTTAGTCTTACGGTCTTCATTTGATAATTAATTTCATTGTTGAGGAAGAGTCGTCGAAGTATGTGTGTCATGTTTTATAAAAATTATTGAAAAAAACAAAGTTGCTTCGTATATAAATTATAGCATTCATACATTTTATGGTTAACAGATATTTAAGCTATGGTTCAGGTCCCAAACGATTCCCATTGGTAGATGTCCTACAGTACGCGTTGGAATTTGCCTCAAGTAAACCTGTCTGCACTTCTCCCGTTGAAGATATTGATGCTAGTTCCCCACCTAGTGGTTCCATCCCATCACAGACGTTACCAAGGTAAAGTCTTTTTAGAACAAAACACAGCTGTGCGAGCTGTATCGCATAATGATGTCACTGATGCCTTTTGAAGAAGGTTTTATAAGCATGTTGTGATTGATTTTAATGAACCCTAAAAAGAGTTGATACACTTAGAACATTATATGTCTTCTGGCTGCTTTCTTATTTCATCATTTCAATAGACTTTCTGGTTATGCATTGAATTTTTCACATTTTTTCTATTCAGTTATACTTTAGGTTGTTTTAGTATGTTATCTGTTTCCACCTTTTATCCATAAAAATATTATTAAGTTAGAATTTTCTTCTGTAATGTAGGCTAGTAAGTGTTAACAAGGGAGGGTCTTGATAATTTTGGTACACATAAGATTTGTTGTTATTTTTTAAGTAAATATGATCAAGTGATTTTACTATAAAGCCACAGTTTCTTACATATAATAAAGTATCTTTGTATATTAAGGTTATCATTGGTATATTAGGTTAATCCACCTCTCTATTTTGAAGACCTTTTCTTTTTGAAATTATAGGCTAGTTTAATGCTGTGTATTAGGTGCAGTCTTTGTCCAGAGCTTCAGTTTGGAAAATTTAATATTTTATGCTTTAAAAATACAGCACAACAGAACAACAGGGAGCTCCGTCTTCAGAATTGCCAAGCACATCCCCTGCATCAGTAGGTGCCATGTCATCGAGACTGGTAATTCACAAACCATTCACTCAGTCCCGGATACCTCCAGACTTGCCCATGCATCCAGCACCGAGGCACATTACGGAAGAAGAACTTTCTGTGCTAGAAAGCTGTTTACATCGCTGGAGGACAGAAATAGAGAATGACACCAGAGGTAAGAAGGTTCTCGTAGCAGAGTCACTGTTGCCTCATGGATATGTATACAGATGCAGTTGAAAATGGAAATTGCAGTGTGGATTACATATGTAAATATCATAAAGTGTTTTCTTCTAGAAAGGGTTTTTTCCTAAAAGATACACTACTCTGGCTTCCCATTTTTACAATCTTGATATCAGGTTCAGAGAGACCAAAAGGTTCTCCCTGGATTACTTAGCTGATTAATGCCCTGACAGATGGTCTGATTGTCTAGTTTAGTGCTCCAAGTTTATATCAGACTGGTATTCACAGCTACTCCACTGGTGGAACATCATACAGCATCGTATCTTGTACATATAAATTATGTGCCTACCCTGATGTTTACACAGTGACATTCTAGTGATAAAAATGTTCTTTAGGCCTAAGAATCAGAAAAGTAAGTTTTAATTTTCAATCTGCTCTAATGAGATTTCCAACTATGAGCACAATGCCAGCCTGTGATGAGTTTTAACTGGCATGTAGCAAAGTAAGAAAAGGGACAGTGCCCTGTCGAGGAGGGGGCTGTGCACGTGTGTGCTGGTGTTAAGTTGCTGTCCCTCCTTTCTTGGAAGGAACTCTGCTTTATTCTGAAATGATCTCCTTCCTACTTCACTATTGTTCACATGTCCTTTTTAATGAAGTGATGTTAGTATTTTATGGTAGGTGTTTTTTTTTTTTTAATATTTTATTTATTTATCTTTAGAGGGGAAGGGAAGGAAAGAGGGAGAGAAACATCAATGTATGGTTGCCTTTCGTGGGTCCCCTGCTGGGAACTGGCCTGCAGGGAACCGGTCTGCAACCCAGGCATGTGCCCTGACTGGGAATTGAACCGCGATTGTTTGGTTCGCAGGCCTGCGCTCAATCCACTGAGCTACACCAGCCAGGGCTTTATGGTAGGTTTTATTGTAATTTTTTCTTACATATCAAAAATATAATACCCTCTTACTGCCCTCAAGTTTTATCCTAATACTAGGATTTTTTAAATTAAAGATTTAAATTTAAAAATAGCTACCGTTGGAACTATATTAAACTATCAATTATTAGATTTGTGTGCCCCACTTGGCGCTTTATAGACAATATGTAAATACAGAGCAGTCCTAATGTAATAGTGAGTAAATAGGATATAGTGATGACTGTAAAGATTTCTCTTAGTATTTTTCATATATAAGGAATTTTTATATTTAAATTTAGTAGCATATCAATTAAGCACCCAGGTTTCCCTGAACACTGTGCTACTAGGTTTGGCATAATTTTCTACTGGACTTGGCAGATTGTGTTTGTTTTATAAGATTACATTCAGAAGGGTGGAAGCTAGGAAGCTTTTGACCCCAAGGTAATAGCACTGAGGGAGGAAGGAAATGAACAGATTTGAAATAGGCTTTGGAGACTGTTGACAGTAGTAGACCATTGATGAGGGGTGAGTGGCAGAAATCAAGGATGATTTTCGTAGTCATTCATAATGGTGTGAATAACTAAATAGATAGAATGCAATTTGGAACAAGGCAGGCTGGTTGGTGAGCAGGTCTCCACCTCCAGGGAGGAAGCAGGAATATGATGAGCCCACTCTTGGCCATTTTAAATGTTTGAGGAGCTTGGGAGACATTCGTGATAAGATTTGGTCTTACAATAATATGAATCAGGTAAGATTTTCCTAGGACTCTTTGCACTTTTATATTAGTTGTTAGCATCATTTTTAAATGGTTGTGTAGTATTCTGACATATGAGCGTGGTGTAATTTAATATTTCTATTGATACTGCAAACAGTGTTGGCCTTCTGCATTCGTGTTTACACACTTTTATTAGTGTGATGTATTCTTAGAGGTGCCATTTCTGTTCCAAAGTGCATGTAATTTTAAATTTGACTCTTTTAAAATTGTTCCCCCCGAATATTGAACCAGTTTACATTTCTAACGATGTGAGAGAGCTTGTCTCTCAATCTCTTCCTTAGCCCTGGGCACTTTTTAATGTGGTAGCCTGTTGGGGGAAGAAATGGTATTTTGGTGTCTTACATTTCCTTAATTTTGAGTGCAGCTCTGTTCTGTAAATTTTTATGACATCTGCCCATTTTTATATGGAATCATTTGTCTTCCTCTTTCCCTTACTGTTTAACACAAACTGACATTAATGGGTATCAACTTGTTGCCTGAAATGTGTGCTGCAGATATTATTTTCCCTGTATTTCCTTTATGTTGGGTTTGCTTTGTTTTTATAATGTAGGTTTTCTTAAGTTTGGGGAGGGAGTCTTTTCCTTTGTGGTTCCTTGATTTTCTGTCAGGATTAGGAATGCCTTTTCCCACTCTAAAGTTACTAATGTTTTTTGGTAATCTTTTATGATTTGTTCCTGATTTTTTTCGACAGATTCATAGTATAAGTGTAGTTATGCCATTATACTATACTTAACCATTCTCCTATTGATAGATATTAAGTTTGTCTCCAGCGTTTTTAATTATATGGACAATGTAGCTGTGAACATCCCTGTCTCCCAATAAATTTGTAGGATAAATTACTACAGGACATATAAATAATGAGTAATGGGATTCTCAGAATTTATTTCATTGGTGATTATAGTGGATTTTTATTCAGTTATGTGTCTATATAGGATATCTGGTAGTTATTTTATTTTCTGTTTTATATAAATAGGTAAGGGGTTTTAGTTTTAATTTTCATTGAAACCTTTTTTATTGTATATGAATGAGGTTTAAGTTTTACTGGTTCTGTACACTTTCTAAAACAACCATATTGTTTTCTTAATTATGAACTTGGGCTATATCTTTTATTAAGGAGAACTATACATAGTTATTTTTATACAAACTCCAAATAATAGTGATTTATTGTTTTAGAAAATTTTTTTATTCTCCTAACTTAATGGTAGGAATACCTTTCATCTCTGCCTTATGAATCTCACTAGAAACATACTTGATGTTAATCAGTAAATGACATCTTCTGTCCTTAGATTTGCAGGAAAGCATATCCAGAATCCATCGAACAATTGAACTAATGTACTCTGACAAATCTATGATCCAAGTAAGTTAAACTGTGAGCTGGTAAGCTTTATAAAAACTATTTATGTATTTTTATTTATCTTTATCTTAACCAAATTTTTTTTAGATGTTTTGTGATAAAATAGCTGAACTTAAGCCATACTATTCCTCAATTGCATTATATTCTTATACTGTATTTATTGGTTAATCTTTTTATTATTTTATAATAAAATTTATCAGAATTTTCTTTAATATTTAAAATAAAATCTTGAGAACTATAAAATTATTTAAAGATATTAAGATTATGGGAGATAGTATAGGGCTCAATTACATTTTAAGTTCTGGTATACTGTAATAAGCCACTTTAAAACTCAGGCACAATTATGTTTATAACTGTGAACATTTAGACAAATTATGTGCTATATGTAAAAATATTCATAAGTTCTTTATTCAGAAGTAATAACTGAAATAGATCAACAAATAAATGTTCAATATTTTGAAAATCATCCTGTTTACACACCTGTCTGCTTTCCACGTCTTTAGCTTATCTTCTCCTTCTTTTATTATTTCATTTTTTATCAAACTTTTAAACTCAGCCCATTGTCTCTTGATGAGAAATTCATACTCCTGTCCTGTCTTCTGCTAACACGGCTTGTGGGTTTCATGGAACGTGGTACAGCAGACTGCTCGACTGCCGTTTCCCTCTTCTGTTTTCGCATTCAGGTTCCTTATCGCTTACATGCCGTTTTGGTCCATGAAGGCCAAGCGAATGCTGGGCACTACTGGGCATACATCTTTGATCACCGTGAAAATAGGTGGATGAAGTACAACGATATTGCTGTGACAAAATCATCATGGGAAGAGCTAGTGAGGGACTCCTTTGGTGGTTATAGAAATGCCAGCGCGTACTGTTTAATGTACATAAATGATAAGGCACAGTTCTTAATACAAGGTAAGAATATGAAATATATATAAATAAGTAGCCCTTGTGTGTGACTCCGGTCTCTGGTATAATTATTTAGGTATAATTCATCCAGTGGGTGATGGATATAATTAGAAAGTGCTTTTGGGTTATTGTGAGTAAACTGGAATCAAAAAATAATATGACCAGGACTGAAAATTGGAATATATTTTGCATTCAGAGTGAACTATTTATTAACTATTATAAAATGTAAACCTTGCAGGTTTCTCCTTTCTTAAAATCCCTTAATGACTATATCACACACTGATTCGTGTTCAGGTTCCTTACCTGACGTACAAGACCTCCATTTTCTGGCCTCTGATTATCTCTCCAGCCTCATTTGTGATCATTGTTCATTTAAAACTGACATTTAAACTTCTTGTTGCATTCTGCTCACACCAAATCACTTCATTCAAACATTTATGCATGTATGTTATGTTTTATTTTTATTTTTTGCCAGTAATGTTCTTATTTCTTGCTTCTTTTGCCTGACTCCTCATCTGTCAAGATTCAGTTTAAGTGTCATTTGCTCTGCCAAGTTTTCTTTATCTGCCCAAAAGCAACCATCCTTGTGTCCTTGTAGTGTGTGCCTCTGTCAGGTACCTGCTGTGTGTTGGAATTGTGTGCTAGCTGTTCTTTCCCACTTCACTTTTATCTGCTCAAAGCCAGGAACCATGTCATAATATGTCTTAATCTTTTTTAATTTTTGTATTCTAATATAGGTGTTCCATATAGAAAACACTTAATAAAGTTTTGTCAAAACTGATAAAATCAACTTTCCTTTTGTATTTAATCATTCAGCAAAACTAGCTAGGCAAACCACTTGTGACTGAAAACCAAAACTTATTTTGTGTGTATGGAGTTGAAGTTGAGTAACTCTCTGAAATGATATTCATGTGGTATTTTAAAATTAATCTTGCTATATTCATAGCAAGATTTAGCAATAGCAGAATTGCATATTGCTATATTTAACTGCCTCAGATGAAAAAGAATTTTAGTTCTAATTTGAGCTTAATAAGGTCATGAGTTATTTATTCTCATTTTATGATAGGTTTTACTTCATGAATAATCAGAAATCTGCTATTTTAAGAGAAAAAGTAGTACTATGTCAGTGTTTGGCAATTTTGGCTTTATATCTTGTTTTATTTTTTTACTATTCAGATTAAAAATGAAATCTGAGACCACTACCTATAATGGACTATGAAATATTTGTATCATAGTTTTTCTCTTTGTTTGAGTTTTCTTTTAATTTTTAAGTATATTGATTTGCTAAATGGTAATAATTCATACTTGAAATCCCATTTGAAATGCATTCTACTTTGAGCTTTGTATTTTCCATTTAATTCTTAATTTTATATTAGTTTTTTAAATATAATTTGCAGAGGAGTTTAATAAAGAAACTGGGCAGGCCCTTGTTGGAATAGAAACATTACCGCCAGATTTAAGAGATTTTGTTGAAGAAGACAACCAGCGATTTGAAAAAGAACTGGAGGAGTGGGATACACAACTTGCCCAGAAGGCTTTGCAGGAAAAACTCTTAGCATCTCAGAAACTGAGGGAGTCGGAGCCTTCTGTAACAACAGGTCAGTTCATTTTATTAAATTGTGTTTTATTGTCAATGACATTTATTATTAATATTTTATTAAAAATAAGATGCTTGTTGAGTAAAAAACAAACTTTATCTTAAAAGTATAAGGAGCTAGTAAAAATTATCTGAAACTCCATCACTCAGAGATACCCAGAGGTCATAATTTAGTTTACCCATTTGTGAGACACCACCACGCACATAGACAGTTGATCCTTCAACAACGTAGGGTGGGGTGCCAAGCGCCTCTGCAGTGACTGGAAATCCACATACACTCATACTTTTTTCATGTTAAAAGAGGTGATTCTGCAGACTCCCCCCTCTCTGTATCCTGTCTCTGTAATGGGCTTGATCCTTCTTGGCAGGAAGCATGAAAAACCTGTTGGAACCAAGATTAACATAAACCAGTTTACTAAAGCTGTCAATAAAATGAATTCTAGTGATTTTATATTTGAGCCAAGTAACACTACTCCATATATATTTTGAATATACTTAAATATATATACTTAATTGTTTCATAATTCTTAAAATGAAATTAGCCAAAACTAAATATTTTCCAAGTATAAATGTGTATACACCTATAAAACAAAAAATAAATACATAAAAATATAATACTTTAAAATATCATTTAAAAAGTATTAGCTGATGAAATCAATAAAATATTTAGTGTAAACACTATACAAAAATAAAGAAAATATGTTCTAGCAAAATTGAAAATAGAATGTATTCTGACTTTTTTTTAGATTAATTTCATCATCACTGAATTGTATGTTTTAGGACAACATTATTTCCTACTATAGAAAAAGTGCTATTTCTCTAGTAGTTGGGAAATGAGGAAAGATAAACACACTTTTTTCCACACTCATTTGTCTCTTTTTTTATAACTCTGAATGGATCTTTTTGAATGACCTTTATTTTTTTTAGCAAGGTCTGCGTGTTTAGATTTTAGTTGTTTATGAATTGTTTTAGGTATTTGATTAATTTCTTTTACAGACAGATTCCCATTCGGCATTATCTAGGTGGGGTTTAGCGTTGTCATTTGAACTTTAGAAGGCATTATTCTTTCAATGGGAGATTCACAATGCCATAGTATACTGTTGTGACCGATAGAGGTATGCACGGTTCTGTTCCAACTTGTAACTTATTGTATAAATTGAGTAATTGAGTCTTTGATATTAAGAGGCACCGATTTAGAATTTTTAAAAGACCAAGATAATGGTATTATAGCAGCAAAGACACTAACGTTTGATAGGTAAATGCAGCATAGAATATCTAACCAGCACCTCTTTCATCCAGTGAGCTCTCCCATCATGAGAAAAACTGCGCTTTCTTTCCAAGCATCAAGGGCCACTGTGTAGACCAGTTTTCACAGCAACGCAGTTTAATTACAATGACTTGGTCCACTTCGGTAGGAAATGACGTAGCTCAGCAGCTATCAAGAGGCTCCTGAGCTCAAATCACAGTGTAGAACTACATTGTCTTATTTCAATTTCAGGCAGTTCTTTCCCTTTGCGACTCCTTTCCTTGTCTTCTCTACCTACCCTTCCCAAGCCACTCCCCTGAAATTGTACAAGACATAGCTACTGTGCCATTCTTTCTTTCCTTAACTTTTCCGTATTCCCTTTGCCTGGGGCACTTCTCATTATTTGTGGGATAATGGACCTGCATAATTGGCATAAGTGGTAGTGGTACTTAAGGACTCAGATGAAGGTGAATCCTCCATTGGTTAAGCTGCAACTTTATTCTTGGTTCACCTATACTTTATGGAACAAAAAATATTGAATTCTGTGGTCTCTTCTTCATCTGGCATATTTCTCACAAGACTCTCTAAATTTACAGATTTAATACGTTTTATTTCTACCAAGTCAAGCTAATACATATTCCCACATAAGTGAGCAGATTCCCAGACAGAGCTCATCAACTAGCCCCACCATTTACATCTCTCATCTTCTGTTTTCTCTGAACAAAAGGCCATGTCTGTGTGCCCCCATCCTTTTTTCCTGATTAGTGTATTCTGCCATACATTTCATATGCTGTTTTGTAATTTAAAAAAATGGGTGGTAGGTATTTTCATTTCTTAAAAAAATGCAAATATTTCAGAGAGGAGCTAGAATAACTAAAAAAATTAAGAGACTAAAACGGTCAATTCACATATAACTGTTCCAGTTACCTTCCAGACCGGGATTTTAGAAAGCAGAGGCAGCACTGCCTTAATAGGAAACATTGTGTCCTCCGTGGAAAGGCTAGAAATACGCAGTTTGTTTGAATTAGTGGAAATGGAATATGCTAACTATGAATTTGGGACGTGAGATTATTGTTTATAAGATTGGTTTCTGTTACTATCTAATCTTACATCATATTAAGAAATTCATCCTGTGTTGCAGAGGAATTTAAGATATCACAGTTGAATAAGGAACTTATTACAATGTTTATTGGAACCACTTATCTACTATTTTTAGTAGACAAATTTTGTTTTAATGACCATGTCATCTTTTCCCTATTTCACTTCACAGTTTTTCAAGTAATTTGTTTAATTTTATATAATACTTTCAGAATATCAAAGAAAACCTGTATTTAAGGTCTCTCAGGTGTGAGAGATCATCACTATGATTATGAGTGACTAGTGAAGTTATTCAAGGAAATTTTGCTGATGAAATCCATCAGAGTGATTTTCTTCCCTCCCTACAAATGGTCTCAGTAAAAGTGTAACCTAAGAGCTATTAAAATCCAATTTCTTCTGAGTGATATTCCAATAAGAATATAACTTACATAGTATTGAGTAACTCAGTATTTTGTTCCTCTTCTGCTAACATGTGAAATCCATAGGCATCACCTCTCTAGTATCATTTATATTCTTATTGCAACAAAGTAATAAATAATGGAAAAGTATTATTTGATTTGTCTCATGCTATCTCCCTAACCAGCTCACTGCAAAGGAGAGCTTACCTGGACCTTTGTGTTTGGAGACAGGGCCAACAGTTCCTTGTTATAGATGTATGCATCAGAATTGCCTGGGCATTTTGTTCTGAGTATAAATAGCATAGCCCACCTAATACCACCTAAGACCTACTGGGATCAGAATCTCTGAAGGAAGGATCCAGAATATATATATATTTTTTATAACATCATCAGATGAGGCAAGGTGTACCGCTGATTAAGGCTATCAGCTGTATTTATAAAACAAAGAAATTAATCTGAAGGAGAGAATAGCTATGCCTGAATTATTATTTGACTTGGGTTACTCGTATTTTACTAAAAAAATATTTGAAGTCTTACAACAAGTATAGCATACTCAAATTTAATTAAAAAAGAATGTAAAATGGATAACATTGGTATGAAATGCGTACCATAAGATTTCATAAATTTGTCTAGTGGTGTCATGCAAAATTGGCCATGAGACTTGGCCATGAGACAAATAACTATCTAAAAGTTAAAAGTAAAGCAGATGTGCCAGGAAAATCCAACTTATTTCTAAGAGGAAGACCTTGTAGAAGGAGCAGTGTTCTTAGTATTCTCACATTCCTTTAAACAGGGACTGTGTGATGTTCCTATTTAAATCTTTAGAATCTAGCAAAATAAATGACATATGGTAGAGGCCCTTTGCCTGTTTTCTGAATTGAATTCGTTGCCTATGGAGATTTCAACAATGAGTTTCCTTGGGGTGATCCTCAGTGTATGGGAATGCAAACATTTTATAAGTATAGCCAAAATTATTATACATTGGAGAACCAGGATAAAAATGTGTGGTGCAGATATAGCTCTGTCCTGGGTAAATTTTAGGTTTAACTGGTTTTTAAGCCTCTACCCCAGCCCCCCTTGGGGATGTCAAGTTGTAATTGTTTTTCATCTGGCAACACTCAGCTACCAGGGGCAGATTCAGAAAAAAAGAGAAGGTTGGTTTCATTCAGGGTTAGGGATTTTTGTCAGGTAGGCATGGAAAAGGATGCTGTGGCCAGAAGAACTAGTGTGCTCTCTTTGGAAACCTAGTCCAGGATCATCATGCAAACCAAATTTGTGGGTTTTTTTTTTTCTTTTGGTAGAATGCTAGTGGTTTTCCAAAATGAGATTTTCATACTTATGGCATAAAAATTTACTATGAATTCTGTATTATAAACTATAATGGGTACTTTCTTCAGTAATTACTTGATTACTTTTGGATTATTTTTTTTTTGTAAAATCTGGAAGAAGTGCTCTGTGCTGAAGGATATATCACTTTCTGTAGAATAGTAAAATTGATTTATTGCCTAACTTTGAATGAGAAGTAAATACTAGAGTCATTGTAGTATAGATGCTCTGATTTTATTAGCTATACAATTGATTCTTTTCTCATGAAGGACAAGCGGGAGAACCAGAATATCTAGAGCAGCCATCAAGAAGTGACTTCTCAAAGCACTTAAAAGAAGAAACTATTCAAGTAATTACCAAGGCATCACATGATCATGAAGATAAAAGCCCTGAAACAGTTTTGCAGTCGGTAAGAACTCTTCTTTTAGCCTCTGATCATAGCCGTGTGCGTGACGCGTCCCCGCCTGTGGTGGAGACTGTGGAGGAGATGGACCAGGAATTGAGAGGTGGTGCCAAGGGATGGCTCTTCCATCCGCATGAACCGAGACTGGGTGTCACCCGATTCCCAGGCAGTTGTTTTCTCAGCTGTAATTTAAAAAATGATTCTTTAAAAAAAATGAGTTCTCTCTTCCTGTTAGAGGATTATGGAAAATTACAATCATAGACTAAATTGGTCATTTGGGAACTTAAAAGTCAGAACCAGAACATTAGCATTGCAAGTCGACCCTTGCACAGCTTTGGGGTTAGGGCCACCAGCACTCCGAGCAGTTCAAAATCCACATAGAACTTTTGTCTCCTCACAAGCCTTACTGGTAATACACACAGTCAATTAACAGACATTTTATATGCTGTATTCTTACAATAAAATACACTAGAGAAAAGAAAATGCTATTGAGAAAATAATAAGGAAGAGAAACTACATTTGCAGTGTTTGTTGAAAAACAATCCATGTGTAAGTGGACCTGGACAGTTCAAAGCCATGTCATTCAAGGGCCAACCATATTTCTCCTGTCCCTCGGGCCTCCCTCCACTTCTAGTCTTACTGCATTGGAATAGCTGGGAATAAGGAGTAATCTTCATTGTTGCATGCAGTGTGTTTAGTGGTAAAATACTAGATGCCCTAGGTTAGAGTAGTATTAGGATAAATATCTTATAATATGATTTATGCATATTTCAATTTTGAATATCGAATTCAAACATTGTCATAATTGTCATTGTAAATCTGTTGGCAGTTCTCAGTTGTGTGTTTTTATAACAGTAAATTAAGCGCATCTGTACTGCACTATGTTTTCAATGAATAAGACATTCTGGGGGATATTATTTCAAGATATGGTATTAAAAAACATTTAGTTGCTATAGTCTTATTTTATAAGCCCAAGCAGTTCTAATGCAGGTTACACGATAGCTTCAAATACGTTAGTATTTGGAGATTCCCCTTCCAGAGAACTAAAGAGAACAGGAGATATAATTTTTAATAGTTTTCTACTTAGTATGTGCACTTAATTCAAACAATAACCTGCTGAATGCACTGAGGTCTTTAATATAAGACCCTCAGTAACCAAAATGTCCAATTAATAGGGTATTATGTTATGTTTTGATGAATGAAATAATCAGAATTACTTTTTTTCATTTTTCTGTTTGAATAACTTTGATTATATATCATCTTACTATTAAAAAGTGTATTAATAGAGGTTTTTCGACCTATGCTGTACTGTATAGACTCTAAATGAGCTTGAGATGAACACTTGCTAACAATCAAGTGCTTGTTGGAAAATGCCTCTTTCAGTATTTGTAGATGTCTGATTCTCTGGGGATGGTAGGATAGGAAAGCTAAGGGAGGGGAAAAGGGCAAAGAGTAGGTAAAAGGTGAAGTATGCAAAATACTTCTTGCATATTTTTGCAAGAAATAAAAAAATTAATGTTCCAGAGCCTTTGCTAATTAGGATATTTATTTGTTAGGGCTTATGTTATGGGTAATAAATATAATCCTTTACACTGGTATCAGAAAGCCAAAAAAGCATTACCTAAGTTAACATAAATCGCAACTCTTTTTGTTTGTTGTTTGTTTGTTTGGGTAATTTAAATTTACAAAAATCAGCACTTAAGTTATGATTGCATAGTTTATTAATAAGGATATCACCTTATAAGGTAGCAACCTACTGCTTCACCTTTACTTGAGAAAGGAGGATGGTGTGGAGAGAATACGACAGACAGCTAGCATGCATTTTTTTTCCATTTGGCTCATCTTCTGTAACAGCACCAACATTTAGCCCTATTGTCTCTATAAACCCCACAGCATGTCTAAGAATGCATTAATCATGGCTGTCTGAAGCAGCCTGTGTTCTTTGTCTCGTGGCCAGTTGCTTAGAATCATGGTAACCACTACTGAGTTTTCTCATTTAGAGGTATACTTTAAAAACTAAATTGCGTAGATGAAAAGAGTCTTCAGACTTTGAAATTAGGTAGTCCGGATCTTTGAATATTGGTTTTACTTATTAGCTATGCAAACTTGAAAAGGTTGCTTAATTTCTCTAAACCTCAGTTTTCTTTTATATAAAATGGAGATGATTATGGGATTAATTCAGATCATTTTTTAAAAATGCTTTGCGTATCCTATAGGCACTCAGTTGCTGTTAGTGTCCTTTTAGTGTTTAAATACTAACCGTTTCACAAATATACAATATATTAAGCTCCAACCTTAGTATAAAAAGAAATCCCTGGAAAGCTTAGAATTTCAGAAAGTATAGAGAGATACTCTTCAAATGTTGAAATAGCTTTCTTTTTAGAAGAATTTCCTTGAATTTAAATAAACTATTTTAGGAAATTTGAAATGCACAAAAAGTGGACTTTAAGAAAGAATCATGCATAGCCCCACTACCCAGAGGTAAACACTGTGAATATGTTAGTATGTTTTCTGTCATTCTTATTTTTGTACACAGGTTTTTATCTTTGTAGTTAAGTTAGTACTGCATATAAAATTGTATATCTTAATTTTCTAATCACTTACCAATGTAACCTAACCATTTCCCCATGTTATAAACTCTTTAAACATTTAAAGGTTCAGTGTTATTCCATTGAGTGATTAAATTCTTGTTTACTTACCTCTACCCTCATTGTATATTCAGTTCTACTTTTATATTATTTCAAATAGGCTGCTAGAAATGAAACTTTTTTCGTATTTTAGTTTATTTCTTTAGCTTCCCCATAGTTGAATTATGGGATAAAAGGTGTGAGCATACTCAGGGTGGGGGGGCACAAGGGATGCAGTTCTGTAGCTTTCTAACCACTCTGTTATGTGACTGCTTTTTTAAAAAATTATGCATTTAGTGGATTTCAGGCCCTCAATAAAAATCTTTGTATTTTAATTCTTTTTGCAACTTTTAACTGAGGAACTTATTTTAACTCCTTTCAAATTTAGCCTTTGTTAAGGTATTCTTACAGGCCCTGATAGTAATCGAAAAAAATAATTATACATCTACTTTACTTCAGTGAACTCTTAAATTCTCTATATGAAAATTTTTAGGGTACCTTTGGATATCTAAACTTGAAAACAAACTACAGAATTTTTACATGCACCCAAAGCTTCTTCCAATTTTCAGCTTTCTCCCACATAATCACTATTACGCTGTTGAAACTCTTTTGTGGTAACTCGCAAGGTTTATAAAACACTTATTATTTTCCCCCTAAGGGAATATGTTGTTTTATAAGGATCAGTATTCTAAGGAATACATTTCCCAGTCGCTACTTGCCTTACACTTATCTTTTCTCTTCTTAAGATGGTATGTTTTGGATTGCCTTTCTTGTGAGAAATTTTTCACCACAAAGTCCAGACAAATTTCTTAATTTACTTGCTTATGTTTCACTCTTGTAAATGTAGTCCTGGGACAATTATTATTCTCTGAAAATACTGGAATTAAAAATTCTTTATTAAATGCCAAGGGCCAAGCATATCTCCATAGGATATTTGTGACGGTAATACCGGGTTAGAATTATTCCAACACAAGCAATTTTAAATAGCATAGTAGTGTAGTAACATTGGTGACGCCTGTCATTTGTGAACAGTGGTCATGCACAAGTATCGGGCTCCCTGCATATTCTCTCTCATGACCATGGCAGGCATGCAGGTGGGTTGTTTTCTCTTGAAACACTGAGGACTCAAGTAAAGTAAGGAAACCGTTCCAAAAAAATGTCAGTGAAAAGTATCCTTTATTGTAAATGGAGAAGTGCCAGTGTTAGTCATTAGTTTTATCTCATCTTTTAGTTAAATTCTTTCTGCTTATGCACTTCTGGAGAATCAGACTGTGTTCATATCCCTAAAATGTACCTATATTTTAAATAGAAGCAAAACCCTTTATTTAATCTTATTAGAGTTTTCTGCTTATTTTATATCAAAACTGAAGTTGATCTTTGCTTAGAAAACTTTTATGGTGCAAATTGAAATTACTCAAGCAAAGCTGCATTGAAGCATTTGCTTATAGGGAAATAGTGAATATGCTACTTATAGATCTCTACAGTAGAATAGCATGCAAACAGTATTTTGAATGAGCTGTGTGAGTCATTTTGAGTGGACTTTTCTGGATTTTATGCTAGTTTCCATTGTATTAGTGTGGATTAGTGAAATTTATAGAATTTGTTAAAGAAAAGAAAGAGAAAACTGATTATGTTCTTAAAAATGGGATCACTTTTCAGCAGCTTTTTCAAAATCAATTCACTGGACACATGATGTGAATATATGGTATGAGGTCATAGGCTGTACAGAATGAGTTAAGCACAATAGAATATGGATATTAAATGGATATACATTTGATTACAGGACCAAAAGGTAAAATCATAAGAAAGAAAACCTGCATACTCTCCTGAGTTCAGAGGAAGGTCATATATTATTTTTATGGAGATCCCAAGAAAGACTTTGTGAAGTTGTTAGAATGTTTTTAACAAATAAAATCCTTACCTGTGAAGATAGCATTTGGAAATACAACTCCACAGTTTATCATTTTTAAGGATTTAGAGTCCAAGATGCATTGTGGGGGGTGAAAAATGAAAATTTAATTTAGTGCTTGAGATGTAAAGGGAAAGGTGGAAATCTTGTATTATCACTTGATTAATGCATTTGCTTCTAATACTCAGTTTTAAGTGGGTTTATTTCATACTAAGCAAATGCAGGTATTTTTAAAAGACTTGAGAATCTCTGCACTTAAACTGGGTGCTTCATTGTTCTCTTTTCTAATGTTCATACTAATGATTTTCTTCTGCAGAAACCTGAAGGTACTACAAGCCAACCACCTTCTAACCAGCAAGTTGTAGAGGTGGCGATTCCCCACGTAGGGAAATTTGTGATTGAGTCAAAGGAGGGGGGTTATGATGATGAGGTACTTTTGTCATGCCACTCTGCACCATTCCTACTTACCTTCTGCCACTTAATACAAATACTTTGGGCATGCCTGCACCCTTTCACTTATGTCTGTTGCTGCATAACATACAGCTTTGCCACCCCTGGTCTGAAATTACCTTTCCAATTGCTCACAGAACTTTGAATTTTACATGGAAATTTAAGCAAAAAGCTTGTGGGATTTTTAAAAATAACTTTATGTTTCTAGTATTAATTCTTTTATGCCAACATAGGATTGATTTATTTTTAGGTTGATAGATTAAAATAAGGTTTGTTTAAAAAGCAAAAAATTTTGAACATTTTAAAAATATTTTTTGTTTTTCTTTCTAACTATACTTGAATTATTTATCATAATTTTTTGCTCACCTTTTCCTGCCACAACGTACATCCTGATTGCAAAGTGATGATTGATATTTTTGCTTCTGCAACCGCCACGTGACTATTAATCGAATGATTCATCAGCAGTCCCTGAATACCAGTGCTTTCCACACAGTGGGAACTCCATCCTTTCTCTTTCTACCTCTTCACTATTCATTCTCATCTACTTAGTTTTGTAACACAACGCAGGCATTTTTGCTTCTCATGATCTGTTTTTCTGGGAATCCAGATGAAAATGCACTGCATCCTGGTCCCATTGTATTTTCCCCACTCCTCCACTTTCCTCTTAAGACTCTTACATTTTGATATTTCCCATGTTTCAGGGAGGGTCAGGAAAGCTGCTTCTGCATAACAATAGAGAAGACCTTGGATTCTATCCTTTGTTAGTTTTTACTGACTTAGATAAGAATTAAGTCTTCTAGACTTACTCCAAGGTTTCAGTTAAACTATCATATAAGAGTTAAAATGTCTTTATGATACTAAAATCAGAGGAGTCATAAAGATACAAGTTTTACTATGTCAGTGTGAAAAAGTATGGCTGTAATGAGAATAAGAAGCAGGTTTATGAGATAGGAACTGGTCAGAAGAATTTTTCTCAAGAATTTAATGTTATTGCAATTCTCATTATATAATCCAAAATAAATACTATGAGTAATAGGTTCAGTGACTCAGAGGTGGTTGATGCAGTCTCTTGATAGCTGTAATATAATAGCTTCATAGTGCCTTGGTTATTTCATTTTGCAGATATTTTAAAATGTAAACAGTTAAGAATAATAAGCTATATGAAAACAAATACATACTTAAGTATTTAGTATTTAATACCAATATGTTGTTCTAGTTAACTATTTTAATTCCATATTGGTACTTGAAAATTATGGAAATTATTGCTTTTAATAAAAATGCTAGTTCACTTATCAAACACCTTAGTGCTTGTTTTAGGGTGAACCATCTGTCACTAAAAAAAGTAGAATTGTGATTATATCATTTAACAGTCTCTTTTGTGCAGTGCTTATGCTACTGGCAAAGTTTTGCTTTGTTTTTTAATTCATTGGAGTGGCGGATTAACAGTGCATGTGCCTTGGAACTAAGTCCAACGGATACAGGGCTACTGCTTATGGATGTTCGGTTGTACGGTTTTGCAGGGATGCCTGGCCAGTGGGCGGGAGTCGAGGTGAAGTCGAGCTCACGCTGACTGAGCGCCCCAGGCCTTAATGAAGAGGCACCTTTTTGAAATAAAAAGATTGTTGCTAGCTCTGTGTGGTTCTCTTACTCAGAGAGCAGCACATTTTTCTAATTTGTCAAGGAAGGAGATGTCTTTTCAAAATTCTTTGGTTCAGAGAAAATGCCTTTTTGCCTTTTGCACAAAGGCACCATATAAACTAGAAGTGGCCCTGTATAGATGATTTTGAAATATACTTACATGCATATTAAATCACATTTGCTATAAAAATGCAATATTGATTATAAATAGAAGTAAAAGAATTCTAACTTGCATGTGAAGAAGTTATTTTGGTTTTTTTAATTTTTTTACAGTACTCATTCAAAACTCTTACTTTAATTCCCTGTGGCAGATCATGATGACGCCGAACATGCAAGGTATTATCATGGCGATAGGTAAATCCAGAAGTGTGTATGACAGGTGTGGCCCTGAAGCAGGGTTCTTTAAGGTACAATGCCATTTTCATTTCCTTACTTTTTAAATTAGACTTCTTACAGAGTTTTCTTTACTCGAATTAAATTTGATTTCCTGTTTAATTTCTCCTTTTCTACCGTAGTCATGGTCACCTGATGTGCTGGGGGTTTCTTTTGTGCATGAATCTAAGACTGATTATTTATTTCTTTTAATACAGATAATTCAACAAAAACAAAGCATTTAACCTGGGTTACCCTCATGGTGCACCTCTGATTTGTTAGAAATATTAAATGTGTTTTATGATCGTATTTGGAAGGAATAAAAGGTATTGATGAGCAAAACTAGGAACTGAGTAACTTTCTGATAGTAGTTTTTCCCTCATTGGCAACACTATTAGTCAATCTTATAATATTTTTCTTTAATTTTATTATCACATGACACTAAATTGCTTTTTTATTGGTTTGTTTGTAAAATGATTCATTCACGTGTTATCTTTTTTCTTTTTCTAGTCACTTGTGTTTTCCCCACGGTTAATTTTTGATATCTTAGTCATTTCAAGACATGTGAGACCATTAAGCTGATGCATTGTTCTGTGACTCAGTCTTTTTCTCCTCTAAGTCCAGATCCTTACAATGTTTTAATTACAACAGTGTTTGTTTTTACATATTTGAAAAATGAAAACACTGTATTTTGTCATTTTAGTTGGAGTAACCAAAAATCTACCAGGATTTTTCCACTCCTATCACCTTGTTAGCCTTTGTTTTTTTCTATTTAAAAAAAATGGAGAGTTATTGAGATATAATTCATTACAATAAGCACATGCTCCCTTCTTTTACGTTAAAAATCTAAAGTTTTTTCCTAATTTTTTGTACTCTGCCATCATCAAACTCAGTCTTCAAAGAACTGCTTATTTTCAGTATTTCTTTCAATGTGTAGTACAAAACAAAGGCCCTGTGCAGAGTAGCCTATATCGATAAACACCTTTGGACATGTTTGGATCAGCACGACCGACCGTCCTGGTATGCCCGGTACTGTGGGAAACCCTGGCAGACAGACCCCTTAAGTGGTGAACTGTAGAAATTCTGGCCAAATGGCCTCAGAATGAGCTGATCACCCTCATAAAGTCCCTTTTAAAAAGGTCGAAAAGCTACCCTTAAAAACTTTATGTTGAGCAGCGACTTACACCATACACCAGAATAAATTCAAGGTGGATAAAAGACTTAAATATAAGCTGTGAAAAGTCCTAGAGGAGAACATTGGCAGGAAAACTCAGATATTTCACGCAGCAACATATTTACTGATATACCCCCTAGAGCAAGGGACATAAAGGAAAGAATAAACAAATGGGATCTCATCAAAATTAAAAGCTTCTGCATGGCTAAAGAAAACAGTATTAAATTAGCAAGACAACCAACTGTATGGGAAAACATATTTGCCAACGATACCACAGACAAAAGTTTAATCTCCAAAATATACAAAGAACTTACACAACTCCACTCTAAGAAGACAACCAACCCAATTAAAAAATGGGCAAAGGACTTGAACAGACACTTCACCAAGGAGGACATACAGAGGATCCAGAGACACATGAAGAGATGCTCAATATCGCTAGCCATCAGAGAGATGCAATTAGAACCACAATGAGATACCACTTTACACCAGTCAGGATGGCTATCATAAACAAAGCAACAAACAACAAAGGTTGGAGAGGGTGTGGGGAAAAGGGGACCCTAGTTCACTGTTGGGATTGCAGGTTGGTGCAACCATTATGGAAAACAGTATGGAATTTTTTCAGAAAAATAAAAATCAACCAGCCTTTTGACCCAGCAATTCCACTGCTAGGATTATATCCTAAGAATCCTAAAACATCAATTTCAAAGAACCTATGCACCACAATGTTCATAGCAGCACAATTTACAATAGCCAAGAGTTGGAAGCAACCTAGGTGCCCATCAGTAAATGAATGGATCAAAAAATTGTGGCACATATACACAATGGAATTCTATGCAGCAGAGAGAAAGAAGGAGCTACTACCCTTTGCAACAACATGGATGGAACTGGAAAGCATTATGCTGAGTAAAATAGGCCAGGTGTTGAAAGACAAATACCATATGATCTCACCTTTAACAGGAAGCTAAACAACAAAACAAGCAAGCAAAATAAAAACAAAGACACTGAAATGGAGAACAGAGGGACAGTGACCAGAGGGGAGAGGGAATGGAATTTGAGGGGAAAAGGGGGAGGGATTTGGAGGAACAAGTATGAAGGACACAGGGACGAGAACTAGGGGGGGTGGAAATGGGAGGGAGGTGGGGAGCATGGGGCAGGGTGGGCTGGGATGGGAGAAATAGAAAACTGTACTTGAAAAATAAGTAAATAAAAATTAAGAAAAAAACAAAAAAACTTTATGTTTAAAAATTCATCCTTATTCCTAGATGGTCTAGATTTATTTTCTTAAAAAACACTGAATATGTATCTTCTAAAGTTTTCAGCTATTTCTTGTGGAAAACTTATCTATCGTGTACAGTACCATTATCATTTTTTATCAAGCTGGGCATCTTTATGTTGAATTGGAAGTCTCATCTTTATTAAATTAACCTCTGCATACATTTCTGTACATGCTGCAAACAGCACTCACCCCAGGCCCTCCCCGTATGGAGACAACTTTTCATTGTTTTATCTAGTCCTTTTGGCTTTATTTTTATAACTTTAACTAGAATGCTTGTTATTGTTGGTTTTTGTGATTCTTAGTTTACACATTTTCTTTGAGTTCCTCGCTATGGGATGTGAACAGTGAGCGCTCTTTCTTATCCCAGCCCACACAGAGTTCCCAGCCCTCCCTATACTGTCTGCCCTCCGGCACATAAAATCTTGTTATGTTGATAAAATCAGAATTCTTTATATTATTTTTATATATGCTACTCAAGATTGAGCTAAGTTCTAAACACTATTATTTTACTTTGTTTAACCTCAGATTTTGTTTTCCTTGGAGTTTTGGTTTATTTTGGTTTGCTTAATTCTCTTTGTGTATCACTGTTTCACTTCTAACTTTCCACCATTTGCTTAAATCTCCTCGTATTCAGTTCTTTGTGAATTTTACCTTTTGGGGAAATCTGCCTGGCCCTTCGTAGCCTGCACTGGTTTTCCTTTACCCCAAGACCTCCTTCCACCATCAGCTGGGGGTGCTTTTTACATCTCGTCCTGTGTGTATTTTCTGTATCTCATGTGTTTCTCTTTTTGGTTTACACTTTAACTTTTATGCAGCAACAAATTTCTAAAGTTTGTATTTGTCCACACTTTATTTTTACACATGTGTAATTGAGGAGTACATATGCATATAATTTTATATAAATGTTATTGTTTGTTTATAATTAATATATTTTTGGTATAGTAAATGACTAGCATTTGGAAAATTCTAGTTGATAACATGATTTCAGGAAATCTGTCAAGTGAATTACAAAACTAATATGTGCATCATGCAGTCATTCAGTGATATAGAGGTGTCCAAAATATGTACATAGTGTATCTTTGTCAGGTTTATTTTACTTTGGTTTTTCAGCCAGAAGAAGCTTTTCATCTCTGTGCCTAAGTACTTATAGATACGGATTTCCTATGATCATACCAATTGTTATGTGTTATTTATGTTTCCTGGTGGTAAAACTGTGATGAAAACGTTAACTTTGTTACTGATAAAAATGTGAGTTGCAAAGTGAACCTGATATCAGGCTGGGTGGTGAACTGTTGGGAACTGCCCTGCCTGGTTTCAGGAGCTGTAAAAACCCCCATAGATGAGGCTGAGTGAGTGACCTTCGGACCTTAAGCCACTAAAGAGACAAAGCTTATCTCCCTGATAGCAACGCTGCTTCTGCTTCATCCCTGGCCCCCGGTGCTTAGTCGGTTAGTCAGTGACTGGTACAACCCCTGGCGGGGCGGGGGGGGGGGGCAACCTAAGCCAGACACCATCACTTGGGAGGCCCTCAAGGAAGGACTCGGGGCTGCAGCAAAGAGGGGGTGATGGACCCTTGCTCCCCGGCTATTCTAACATAGCCTGAGTCCTCAGTCTGTCTGTTGAGAAGTCTCTGAGAATTCCTTGGCTATCTGCTTCCTCTGCCTGACTTAAGCCTGAAAACAGTGACTGAGGGTGGTGCATCCTGTGCTGGGAATGGCAGGCTCCCTGGGCGATCAGGCCTGAGAAAGGATATGTGAAATCCTGTGAAACCTGCTTTGCTAAGAGTACTCTTCGTTAAATGACCAAGGCATGGGCAGAAGATGAGTTTGTTTTCCCAAAGTCTTGTAGCCCTTTAGCTACAAGACCCTGACTCAGAAGAAGCCCTAATAGTTCTGTGTGTGCTATCTACTGTTTACTGCCTGGCAGTGATTAATAAGTTGTACCTGAACTCCTGTGTAAAAAAAAAAACAGTAAAGGCCTGTCTAGGCAGGGTCTGCATGCTCTCCCCTCGAGAGAGTTGACAGGCCACTCCAAGGTGCTCCCTCCTTGAGGAGTAGCCATGCCGTCCCTTTTCCTCCACAGGACTCGGTAGTCCGTGTGAATTTGTCTTGCTTCTCCATCCATAACGCACGGGCACTGCAGGCCAGTGCGCGCGTCAGTGGACTTACTGAGGTTTCACCCGGGGTTTGGAAGTTACCAACCCATTCAGTCAGTGTCTGTGTCAGCCCCACACAGGAGTGTGCCCTGTACACATACAATGCGGAAGAGTTAATAGGCAGGCAGATCTGGAAAAATGCATGAGGAAACGTACTTTACTTAGATCTTTCTCCCCATTGGACTGTTTATTAGAGTTAGTTTTCACTGTTAACTGAACTCATCCCCCAGAAAAAATAGTGGCTTAAAGACAGAAGTTTATATCATACAAAAACGAAATCCAGAGAAAGGTATTGCAGATCTACAATGATGAACAAATAAAAGTCAGACAAAATAAAAGAATAATATTCGCAAAGTACTAGTTGCTTATATGTGTATGTACAGGGATGCAAGGTAGAGATGATAATTATAATTGTGGGATTAGTTTAACA